GAGTGCCGGACTCAAACATGATTAGTGAAACTGTGAAAGTGTTAAACCACCAGATGTTGTGCAGTCCTGATCAAAAAATCAGAGTAAGCATTCTTTGAGTCAGCACAGGTCAAAGGCATGAAGTCGCGAACTGTGATGTCGAAAGACATTGAAGGTTGGCCTTTATTTCTGCTGGGGGCAGCTGCTTGCATTCAAAGAGCGAGTGGATCTTAAACTTTGCTGATTGGATTCAAGGATGGAGGGAAGGCACAGCTTTTCTCCCTGAAAAGCAGTTTCGAGGAGCAAGGACCGCCGGAAACTGCCGATGACTGACGATGAAATCTTCTCCCCTGCCCCAAGCTCGAGTTGCATTCTGCTCCTTCTTTCATCGTTTTTTGATATGTAAGTAACCTCTTTGTGGGTTCGAAAATATGGACGTGGTGCTTCAAAAAGTGCTGCATATGAGAATCATACATACAATTCAAAAACTATAGAAGATATAGAAGTAGTATAGACATACAATCTGACGTATCTTCCACTGATGATCAATCATTCAAGCATTGGCTTGATAAGTTTATCAGTGTGGACGGGATCATCCTTTTTTGGACGAGCGGTGAGGAACGGCTCAGCTTTTAAGACTGGTGACCAGGGGCCAGGGTCCTACTCTGGGAACGCCTCATTCACAATGGCACAATAGCAGATGCAGAGGAACATGAGGAGCACAGTACCACGTTGTGAGGCTAGGATACTACACCGAATCTCCCGCTGTGTGGAGAGGAAAGGCGTGCGGCAAGAGTGAGCCCTTACCCAGATCAACGTCCAGCCACGGCTTTGAAAAAGAAATTACAAGATTTTTGGCAGGTGAACCTTGGCAAAAGGCATTCACCCTTGCACATCATAGAGGGCGACATGCGTGATCCTCACTGTGCTCACTCCTGACGCATCATAGAGCATCTGAATTGTGTCAGAAGCGGAGGTTCGATGTCACGCCTGACCTAGTGGCAGCTTCGACATTCGCAACAGATGGCAGGCCGCAGCGAGTGCTCATCGTTTGTGTGTTTGCGTTGCCATACGTGCAATGCTGATGATGAAAGATCAAAGGTATATCACGCGGGGGATTTGCTGTGAATGTGCCCTGAATCTAACGTGCAAAACTGGCTGAGGTTTGACCTGATCTATGATAAGGACGCCTTGGTTGCTTGTCATGGAGACCCTGAGATCCCTGCGATTTGAGGACATGTATGACATGTGGAGATCCATGAGGTAAACAGGAGCTTCACTGTTGAGTTTCGTGACTATATGATGCTGTATTTTTTTTGGGGACAACCTTGGCAACTCTTTCCACTGCATTGAATTGGCCTGCACAGAGGCTAGAAGGATCAGACATGATCAGACAATAGAAGGGGTGAGCCCATGTACAGTGGCTCAGGTAGCTCTTCCCCCAGATTCTTGGGACCAGTTTGCGTCTCAGCACATCTCACAGCAAACTGCGTCAGCCTGACTTGCCATGACTTGCAACCCATGACTGCCCCCTTTAAAGCTTGCTCCACGACCTTTCATGGAGGTACGTACAGCGCCTCAGCTCTCTGCTTAGGGTAGGTGCGGGTTCCAAGGTTTTGGATGGTTTTGGACTTTCTATATGCATTTGAAGTGTTTAGATGGGCTGCTCTAACAGCTGACCAGGTGGACGAATCCTTTTGGTCGCAAAGATCTCAGTTCAGTCAAAGCATATTCAGCGCGGTGCAGCTCAGATTTTGACCCAAGCAGATCAGAGTGGATCAGCTGCAGGGCGTGCAGTATGATCAGAAAAAGGCACCGTACGATCGTCACACCGGCATGTGTTCAGCACTGGCGGAGAAAGTCTCAGGCTGTTTGTGATGTGTGATGGTTCTCTCCAAGATTGCATTGCATGCAGGCAAAAGATACAATCCGCCACCGTTCAGTGTGCGTCCCCAAGTGCATACCCTTCGATGAAACTTCTGACCTTTGAGAGTTCAAACTTGTAAGCCGTGCCGGACCGTGCCCTTCAGACATGTCCAGGTGAGCAAGGAAACGATCAGCAGACTCTTTCCGGACCCGCGAAGGGTCTCAAGCTTCATTCTATAATTGCTCATGTCACGTTGCATCCAAGCCAATTAAGGAATCAATGTGCCTTGTCCGGCGCTGCTCTGAAAGGGACTGCTAAAGATGGAACAATTTCGGATTTCAAATTAAAAAGGAAGTAAGGTGAATCCAGATGAAAATGATGGATAGTTCGATCCAAGCCGAGGAGTTCTCAATCCACGACTAACTATCCATGCTAAACCATGCTTTGATGGAGCAGCGTTGCAGGAGCATTCATGGTCTGTGGCCCTTTTGGAGACGGAACCCTGCAGTGACGAGTACGTCGCGGAACCCAAGCTGACTGACCTGCCCCAGCTCCTTGCACACAAATGGCATGGATACGAATGATGAAAAGCCAACTGTTGGTGAAACCTCTTCTGACTAGGTGATGCAGACAATTTATTCAAATAACATACTTCTGAGAGACAGTGCGCCGTGAAGGCTTTTCAGCTAAAGGTTGAGGCAATTGCTTCGAAGGATGTTAGGATCACAGGTGACGCAGTTGCTTGAATGTTTCGCGGCTTTTGCTCCGGCTCGATTGTTGGACAGGCACGCATGTGGACTTGTTGGAATATGATGGAATGTGGTTGGCAGTTTGTCATAGTTACTACATGTTACTACAGATTGCCCCTCGCACACTGCGTCAGCGGTTGGGTTCAAGATCCATTCTTATGATTTCTTATGCAGATTTCAGTCGGCAGTTTCCGAAAAAATGCACTTTCTGATTGTACCGTGAGAAAACTGCTGTCTGGGTTTTAGTGCCTCACCTGTTTCACCTGTCCGAAGTGAGACACCATGCCAGCACATCCCGGCTCTATCTGGCTAGTCCATTGTCATTTTAAATTATTTGAACAGGTTATGAACACTTGGACTTACAACACGGCAACCTCCAGCGAACCACCATAAACCACCTCAGCGCAATCATACTCCAGCCAGATTGGTGTGTTTTTATCGAGTGCTGGCCATGGTCGTGATGTCTCACAGCGAGTGAATAGGTCTGGGCATCTGAGTGCCGTGCATTTGTTCAAAGAAGTTTCGAACATTTTCGAGCCTGTAGGTTGCCGGCTAGCTGTGTAGCTGACCACTTTGTTTGTTACAGGACTTGGCAAGATTTGCCAGTTTTTTTGCTGGAAGAGCACGGTACCAGAGCCTTCTTGGGCCGGGGACGGATATGTATGTCGCGCCATTTGCATCCTTGCCTCCTTTGTCCGACAAGCGCAGTCGAGCTTGGGCCGATGCCTCACTTTCAAAGAAGAAAGCTGGAAGTCACGCTTTTGGCGTGAATTTGCATCGCAGCATATCGATTACAACTATAATGGCAATAGAATATAATAGAATAGCCTCAATAGCTCATGGTTCTTCTTGACTCGGCCATGAAGCATTATGTCCAGAATTCAGATTTGCTTCGCGTTCTACCTTTTGTCAAGTAATTACATGCCCGTGTCTGGCTGAGGCCCGTCATTTAGAGAATCGGCTCAGAGGACTGACAGAAGAGCCCACGAGGCCTGTTTGCTTGCATTTCTGGATATTTCATGATATTTCTGGTTCATGGTGAGGTACATGACATTCTCATATACGTACATTCTCCGTTTCATTTCGTCAGCATTTCAGCTCAGCAGGAAGCATCTTCCAGCGGCTCACTTGTCTCCACTGCTGGCGGGTCGCAATGCGCCCAAGGCCTCAGAGGTCCCTAAAACGCCCCTTGGCGATGAATTGACCAACAAGACGTCAAGATGTCCAGCGGAGTCCAGCACCTTCCAGCCAAGATCAGCCAAGGCAAATCGATGTAAGTCCATAGCCAACACCATCCAACACCATCCAACACCGTTCGTCAATGTAAACTGATGTAAACTGTAAATCCGCTATCTTGCAGCAGAAGGCGGCTGATTTGTGACACTGATACGGATGCCTTTCAATTTAATGTGTGAAACGTGTGAAAGCCTCCGCTGCTTGAGAACAGTGTTTGAGGATCCACCGTTCGTATTTTCGCAGTATATAATATATATATATATAATACATGTATACACATATATAAATAAATTAATTAATATATATATATAATGTATAATTATATTATATACTCTTTATATCCTCCAGTTGTTGAGCCATAAATTCCGCTCACTTCACAGCGGATTACGTCCTTAGTTTGGCACCCGCTGTGTTTATTACCAAGGAGCCTCCGTCCGCAAAAGCGAACTTCGATCAGTCGAAGTGGAACTCGGAAAGCAGGGAACTAAGCAGCTCATAGGAATCAATTCACGTGGAGCTGAGATGAACTGCTGCACAAGGCATGGCATGTGTAAAAGGTGCTTGCAGGTCTAGGCAGTCTGTCGGCCGCAGCCCCTTGATTTATACACTCAAGCCTGGGGGGCCAAGCGTTGCCATGTCGCAGCCATGGAAGAAGCAAAGAGTTGATGAGCCAGAGCCAAGTTCAAGCGTCCTTACATTCTTCAGTGATGGATCCTTCAGAAGAGTTCCAGTTGCTCAGGATTCTGAGGCAGTGCCTCGAAACAGGAAGCAAATAACTACGGTTTTTGCAGCCGATGGGAGGTATGTGCACTTGGAGAATCCCAGCGCAGAAGTATTACAACACAGTGGCTGGTCTGCACAACAAAAGCGCGGCCAAAGAAAGTCAGAAGGAACCTTGGCCCTGCGCCCCATGGCAACGAATGTTGCTGCCAATAGTCATGCTGGGGCAGGTGATTCGAAAGCAAGCCACGCCGCCAGTGGACTGAGCCTGGGAGCAAACATGCCGTCCCAACAGGCATCAGAGAAGTCTTGGCTGGATTCTCGGCTGGAGAGGGCAAGAACGCTTCCACCGCCAAGTGTCAAGCAGGACCCCACAAGTGCCACAAAGTCTCAGGGCCCTGCGGCAAATGTCATGGTAGAACTTCGAGTTGCTCAGAGAAGTCCAAAGAACAGCACAGAAAGTGCGGCATGTTTGCGAATTAATGCTTCTTCCACAGAGGCCTTGGACAAGGTCTTGACTGAGTCTGTTGGCAGTTTATTATCTGCCATGAAACCAGCATTGTCATAGGCATGCAGGACAACAGGCCGCTTTACTCAGCCAATGAAGACAATGAACATCAATGAACAATGAGTGATCGGAATGCTGCACAAAAGTTGCAGACAAGAGGGACGCCTCTGCATGCCTTGGAAAGGAGGCAATGCTGATCGGAACAGTGCGGCCCCTTTTGTTTCAAAACAAATCCCATGCGCAGGGTTTGCATTGCAGCTGTCCAGTGTTTTTGAATTTGTTTGAAATTGTTTGAACCATTGTTTTGGGAGGATTTTGTCAAATTGAAGATGTTCGAACATCTTCGACTCTTCAGCCAACTTCTGCAGGTTTTCTTGTCATGCATCCTGAGGTGGCCGACAGATCTCGGCGGAAGCCAGGTCAATCGCCTGATACAAGGCACAGCTGAATGCTGCATAGATTGGCATATATCTGCATAGCATAGCTTATATTTATGCTTAGTTTATTTGTAGATGTAGATTATAGATAGGATTTCGGGATTTCATATAACTGATGCCGATGATGCCGGGCAGAATCCAGATGAATCTAGGCACACTGAAGAGCCATGTTGCTTGATGTCATCTCGATGTTTCTTGTAGTTGTTGCAAAGTGAGTGTGGCCATGCGCAAGATGCAACACAGGCCGCGCCGGCCGCCGCGCGAACTGCCTCCATGGCGACCAGGAGGCACTTGACATGCTGTACGCATGTTTGAGCAATGACTTCGCTGGCTATGATGAGCACGATGACATCACCAACACATGGTATGGATTGGATTGATATGGTATAGTACGGTTGAAGTTGGTTCTTAAACATTCTTAAAACATCTTAAGATAGGCATTGTCGAACCATGACTGAACGCAACACGAGGATACTAATACAACACGTTCCTCATTATCTCAACTTAAACGGACGTCATCGTGCTGTATCATAGGTGCCAGAACCAAGACTTGATCGGAGGTGCCACCAAAGCAATCGCAGCCAGCGCCGCTAGCCTGAAGCGGTGTGGCTCTTACTCGCCTCAGTGGGAGAATGTGGGAGATGTTGGAGCTTGAGCAAACAACAAACAACTTTTCGCGAGGTGTTTGATTGGCACTATTTGGGCTTGGGGTTGCTTGCCAGTTACTGTACCGCAATTCAGAAGCTCGAAGGTCTTCGAAGAGCCTAGCCAGACCACAGACATCAGTTGGACGCCAGCAACTCAGCCGAGTGGCTGGAAGATGCTGCATGTCGGTCTTGCGAAAGCTCAGCCCCTTGTTCCTCAGGCTCCGCCAACACCATAAGTGTGTGGTCCATAGCTTTGCTTTTGAAGATTGAGCAGTCAAATCTTCAAATATCTTCAAGATCTTAAAGCGTGTTGCAGGGACGGCTTGGCAAAACAAGACACAGCCTGGACTGGCTGGGTTGCAGTACGTCAACGTATGACACTGCCTCAGCATTGCGCGCAGGATCCTGTAGGATCCTGTAGGAATTGATCATTTTGCACATTTTTGGCATTGTCGTTTCTGTGCTTTTTGGCCGGAGTTCTCCAGGACATTTGAACCGCCATAGTCAGCCTAGCAACGCAATTTCCGAAACATTGAGCTTGCAAAGCGTCCGCGACATCAAGATTTCGGCCTGGCAATTTCTCAGGATGGTGATCGGCGACATTCTGATGGCCATCATCTTAGGACATCTTAGGTGATAAAATGTGAGTTAATATAGTCATTAATACGTGCTTGCGTGGCCGCCTTCTTAATTTCATCAATGCTGTAAAGCTGAGGCCTTGGTGGCTGTGTGTTGCTTCCCTAGTTCAACCTCTTTCGACATTGATTGGCAAGGGTTTTCTGCATGATCTTAGAAGATTCGTGGAGCTGGTGGTTTCATTTGAGGCGAGGGCAGGCAAAAGTTGTGCTGCGATCTTGGCTCATCATGAGAGGGGAGAGTCAAACAGTTAAACAAGTCATGTTGACACTGCCATGCAGCTCTCTTTTGTATCTTTTGTGAGGTTGCCACTTCCTGATGCAGCACTAGCCAGGGTTGCAACTGGGGAGGCCCCCGTGATGCTGCCACTAGAAGTCCATACTCCAATGGATGGCTGATATCTTTCAGGGAAGCTACAATGACTCCGTGATTGAGGGCTACTACCTCAGCATGGGTGCTTCCAATGTAGTTAGTTGTGCAAGATTGTACCGGCCCGGAATTAGATGACATGCCTTGATATCTCTTGTTCCTTGGTACTGCAAGATGGAGTAACATCATTTTGATTCATTTTGACTTATTTGCCACTGTCATCTCTCGTCGATTTTTCGTTCCTGCCATACTCAGCGGCTGTTTTGGACTCAGGAGGCCCTCTTCGGCCAAATTTACCTCTGGTCCCGTCCTTTGAGGAGCGCGGATTTGCTTGACAGCTGGCAGAAAATATGCCACACCTTTCAGTCCTTTTAGCTTGATTGGAAGAGGCCAGAAAGAAAGTCGCAGAAGAAGCCCGGCGAAAGTCAGCCAGGGATTTGGAAAGAAGGCGGCCACGGAATCAGTGACTCTTAAATAAAAAAATGAATCCACTTGGTGGAAAGTTTGAGCAGCACATCACTGCACTGGACGGCAGGAGACGCCTCGAAGCGCTTGAAGAAGCAAATCGGCGGCGCGAAAATCGGCGAAGAAGGCTTCAGAACCAGGCGCCTGCACAATTGTTGCAACATTATCTTAAAATCTGCATGTCCAGGGACTGACTCTTGGCATCTCTTGGCTATGCCATGCTATGCCTTTTCAATCCTTTTCACCTGCACACACCCAAGCCTGGGCATCATCATTTATCATGCGCGCCGTGTGCGTGTACGCCCATCCGGAATCGTTTATAGCTTATTATAGATGCATTATAGATGACATTGTGCACATGCGCAGTTTGTCTGTATGACATTGTATGCTTCTAGTATCTGTTTCGTTGTGGGCGTTCAACTTTATACTGCACTGTTAGATCAGCCACAGCTTTGAGGCACGGCGCCTCCAAGTGCTGAGACAGAAGGCCTGGCCACACAGATGGACAGCGTTCAAGAGCTTCAGCGACAGCGACGCAGGCGTTGGAGGCCGAAGAGGAACAGGAGCATGATGACCACGAAGATACAGAGGACCTGAACATGTTTGGTACGAATCAGTACCGGTTGGTCAGAAACCAGTGAAGGATCTAATTTAATGATCTACTGTTTATACTGTTTACATTCCTGATTTCAGGGTACATTTCAGAATTTCACTACATTTCGTTCCTGTGAATTGGCTCAAGCCTGGCGCCTGCAGTTTGTCAATCGGAGCCATGGCCGTCATGGCGGCAGGATGTCAGCGTGGGTTTGCACTTTTTCGGCTTCCGGAACAGGGCCCCAAATGCAATATGTGGAGGAATGGGTCAAAACCCTGGTAAATGGATGTTCATCCCACTAAAAATGTATCTATAGGTACTGACCCATACCCATATGTGGACCATGGGAATGGAATGGGCCCACTTGGGTGCAAGGACCGCACGACACCCTCAGCTGCACATGATGGCGCTGAGAGTGCCGCAGCCTATGAAACTGAAACTCTTCCACCACGTTGCAGTGGCACTTTGCGACTTGTGACTTACAATGTGTGCTTCCACCCATCAGACTTGGACATTCGTTTGAAGGCTATTGCTCAAATCTTGGAATCTGTTGATGCTGACGTTGTGGCTTTGCAAGAAATGACTGACAGGATCTTGGACATTTTGACCTTGCATATCTCAAAGGAGTGGCACGTCTTCAAGCAATCCCCTTCACATGTCGAAGATCTCTTTGTATATGAGACCGGCTACTTCACTTGCTTGCTGGTCAAAAAGTGCGTGCAGGTTGTGGACACCTTTTCACTCCGCTTTTCCATCACTGCTATGGCTCGCGGTTTGCAGTACGCGGTCCTTCGTTTGCCAACACGGCTAGTCATTGAAAGCGACGATGGAGATCAGGGGAAGGCCACGCATTTCAAGAAGGTAGTTGTTGCGACTTCACATTTGGAATCCGCTGTGGCCTCACGATCTGGTCAAGAGACTCGTGAGCATCAACTCCAAGAAGGAGGGTGGAGAGGGAATGACAAAGTGAACATGTTTGCAGACACCAAGGCTTCGCCACTCTCTACATTGTGGTCTTGTTTGTTTGTTTTTTTTTGGATGTGTCGCAAAAGCTCAAGCACCAATGGTTGCATGATGTTGCAATATCTTAACAGGCTCGATGGAATGTAGATGGAATTTAGATGAATGTAGTATAATTAGCAGACATATTATTCATCTATATTTATAATTGCATTAGTATCATTAGTATTTGTATTCCTGCTTTGCCATGGCATCCGTGGCAGGATTAAAAGAGTTAACCAACATGTTGGAAGACTGCGATGCAGCTGTTTGGCTTGGCGACATGAACTGGCAGGGTGAAATGGACATCCCCGGATGGTGCGACCTTTGGAAAGAGATTTCAGCGGATCCTGGCCCGACTTTTCACGCCAACCAGGGGGCTAGCTGCACAGTAGCTGCGCGATTGGATCGAGTCCTTACTATCGGAGTGAAGCCGGAAGGTTCAAGCGTAGCTTTGCTGGGTACCAGCCGAATTCCTGGCACAAACAGCTTTCCAAGTGACCACTATGGAATCTTTGCAGCTGTTTCCCTAGTCTAGCCGCTAGCCAAAGCACACGGTACATCCCGGTACCACATAGTTCAAGGTCCACACTTGGAAAGCGGGGCTTACATCTTCCTGCCAGCAACGTTTGGAAATCTTTGGAAAGAACTCACAGATGCTACGAGCTCGACGAGCTCGGCTTCACAGCAACTTACCTGGACTTTCTCGGCTCCTGAGTCAGCGATCATCCCATGGGCCTCATCCGAAAAGATTCCCAGACCATCAATCAGGCATTCTATGGCAATTCTATGGCATTTTATGGATTTTTTTATGGCATTCTTAATATTCTTAGTCCCTAAGATGATCTAAGATATCTAAGATGATCCAAGCACAACACGACTGAGCAATCCTAGCTTTGGAAAATTGATGCCGGGGCCCAACAGCCAACATCTCTTTAAGTCAGGTGCAACTCGCTTTCCATTAAGCGGAGAACATGAGAAAAGAACGAAATTGAAATATGCCAAATATGCACCATGGATTCGGTGACGTTGAATCCCTGCAGGAGGAGAATTCTCCCGCACAGAAGCAGGACTGGGTGGTCAGAGCTTGCAAATATTGTTAATCTATGTTAATGTTACATGAAATATTGGAATATATTGGAATCATTTGTGAAAGCATTGGTAGATTGGTAGATGTCAGTTGATGTCGGGTAAGATCAGGTCTTGTATTTGTCGCAGGATGGGGAACGGACCATCAGATTCATGCCGCCCCGCGATGACAGCTCTGGAGGCTCCGGAAATCTGGACGAATGACTGTCATTTGGACATGGATCAATACCTATTTTTATACCATTTTTAGGGGGATGAATACCTAATCAACATCCATCAATCCCAGCCCCAGCTATTTTGATGTGAACTACAGATACTACAGGGGTACTATTGGTTTTGACACACACCCATTTGATGTCATCTGATGTCAGTTTCAGCCGCGCTGTTAGAACCTGCGTGGGGCAGGTTCTGATCCTGAGAGCTCGGAATCATCGCAGGACCGTTGGGCTTGGACGACTGCGCTAAGAGATTCGCCAGTGATGGCACTGGATGAAGGTGATCTATGGTGATCTTGGGTGACTGCGTTTGCACTGGCCCGCTGCGGCCTTGCATCAGGATGAGTACGATGGAACACGTGACCCATTGCCCGTGAGGTGCGCAGGATGCACGGGGGCTTTGACAGTTGGCCAAAGAAGTCATCTCGGGAGTGCTTCTAGAAGAGCAGCCCGCATCGCATTTGAAGGATAGCCTTTTAAAAACGATGTCATGATTGTCATGCCGCAATGCCAGATGCACGTACCCGACTCTATGATCCCTCTGGAAAACTGTGCGTCTTTCATTCTACTTTATACTTCATACCAGTTCATCATATTGCATCCCTGTGTTGCAGGTTGCCCTTGTGGTATCCAGATGAGCAGCCCTTGTCATTTTCTGCTCCGTTTGGTCGGGACCTTGCAGCTTCAGGTTCCCATGTTTGCGGCAATGGTCTGCACTCAGGAGCTGGAACTTTGGATCTGCCTTTGAGCCATTTGGTGCCACCTGCGCCCACTGCAAAGTCCCTTGGCTCATGGCCCCATTGGTTACTGCTGCACTGCATTCGGCTTGATATGGCTTGATTCATGAATGACGTGTCATAAAACACGAGTGGCTGGTGGAAGTATTCATCGAGAATCTTCAGCACAGGGGGGCCAGATCTCACTTCCAGCCTCTAAATTCAAGCTTGACCAGCTGCCCGTCTGGTGCTTTCTCTTCTCAGCTTTCAAAACTCTCATGGGTTTTTCACTTTCCACGATTTTCCAACTCCATGAGCGAACCAATATGCCATTCAATATGCATCAATGGATACCAATTTCACGATGCCTTTGGCCACGACATGCCACGATGAGGTGCACTGGACACGACAAGGTGTCAGTGGCCTGGCAGCTTCAGGGAACAAGGCGAGCATCGAGAAGCTCAGATTGACTTTTGATGCCTCAGAGGTTTCTGCATTCAGCAGTTTTCTCCTTTGGGGGCAAGTTGCAGTCTTCACCCGTTTCGAAAGAGCACATTATGTGAGACTGAATGGTTGTTCTTGTCTTCTTTGCCAGGCTTTTGGACTTCACCTGGCAAGTTCGCGTGCGCACAACAAAACCCAACGCTGAGTGGCAGAAGGCCGCCAAAATGCACAATAGCCTTTGCATGCCTTTGCACAATGATGCTATCATTATCTTGGTCAGTTTTCGATAAAAGTATGTAGTAACAACATATTGGATCACGGTAGCTTGGCAGGATATCAGTGAAGAGCTTTGCCACTCACAGGTGGATCTCGATTCCGGCCGAATTGAATCACCAGAAGTCACAAATCTGCAAGAGACCAAGTAATTGACTGGTACAGTTCAGCGAGAGCTTCGGAGCAAATCAAAATGACCATGCCAGCATTTGACAGCATTTGCCCCTTCATAAACAAGTAGTGACAGCATGTGACAGCCATCTTATCCTTGAATATCCTTGAGGTCCTGGAGGCACCGTGCTTGTTTTGTTCAAAAAGGCTTGAAGGTGCCATTCGGTGCCTGCGATGTTCTGCGATATTCTGGGCATTTAAAAAAAAATGTCGTCGCTTTGCATTTTAGATCATTTGACGATGTCACTCGGGTCCGGATCTGTGGAATGTGAATGGCTGTAATGGCATTTTATATATAGTTTATAATTACATCAATTATCATCAATTAATAATATTTATAATTTATAATATGTAAAGATATGTTAAAAGTGCATCTCAATATGAAGGTCCCGTATTCCCATTTTGATACTTATTTTGATTGTGATTTTAGAATCCAGCTATTCGGGGTTTACCACGGTTGGTCGCCCTTGGACCTGGTCAGGTCCTGAGCTTCTGCGTGGAGGAAGGCCGTAAAAGCCAGCGACCAGTTCCAGGCTGTGGTCGAGTGATGTCAACGGTGCTTGAGTCAACTCGTGACGGATGTAACATCGGAGGTTACGGTTCATCACATTTCATTCATCAACTCAAGTAAATCACTTTCCGATTAGTTTTCAACCAGAAGTGCTAGTGATTGATGATCCTTTTATAAGTGTATGAAGCTGAGCAAAGCCATTGCATGTGAGGCACAGTGGTCTCGCACTATCCGGGCCTCGTCACAGTAGCCAAGCTGCATTCAGCTTGAATGATCAAAAAGGACGGTATTCTCCAGGCAAAACAATCAAAATCACCTAGTCAAATACGTGCAACTAAATCACGGTAGAGCCAGGGATAGAGACACTGACAGTTGAGATGCATCAAACGTCTTGATGTTTGTGTGAAGCCAAGGTCGATTTTGAACTGATGGGGGGTCACATCTTGCGACAACGTGTTCCACAAGATTGGGTTTTGCTTGCAGCCACTTCACGCGAAATAAAGGCCTTGGGGCCTTGAGATATCTTGAGATGCCTTCAGTGCTTTGGTTGCCTCGTGAGTCACCTGTCTTGTGAGTCACCCTTGGCCGCTTTGGATGTTTCGTATCCGAAGGATGTGGCCTGGAGCCTCCTGGAGACAAGGTACCACATCGCTTGAAACTTGCCCGCCTGCATCATTTTACTTTATAGGCTACCCATTATAGTTTTAAAAAAATCGGGCAAACGCTCTGGACGTCCTAAGCAGAAAAATCAAAGGTTGCCCATGTTTTCCCATGTGTTCTTCCATTTTTTCCCATGATCTTGCATCTATGAAATTGCTTTGTCAGGTTTGGTACTGGTCGTGGTGGTAGGCCAGGTTTGGGTGCTTCAGATGATGCTGATAGACACTAATTGTATTGAGCATTAATTCAGCATCGTTGAGTCGAGCAATCCTTTGCAAGGTGTTTGTCGCAAAGATGCGCAACGACATTTCGTGTCAGCTGCTGTCAGCTTGTGTCCACATGTTTGAGATCTGTTTGAGGCGATTGTGGCGTGTTGCCAAGAACAAGGCCGCCAACTTCCAACACAAACTTCATCCAGATGTCCTTCATGCAAGATGTCAATGTAACTATACTAATTATATCTATTATCTAAAGTTCATGGAAGGTCTACGAACGGATCATTCGAACACATCGTCAGTGCGCTGTTCTCTGGAAGCAGCAGGTGCGAAGGAGGATGGTTGTGGTTTGATATGGTTTCATGATGTTTCATGTGGTTTGACGTGGTTTGTCGATGTTTGTTGGCTTTGCTGATGGTTTTATGGCGAGATATGGCGAGTCATCCATGTGGGTTCCCAAGTTGTTCGGCTTCGATTTTTCGAAGGTGGATCTTCCTGAGCCGGGCTGTCGAGTCTCCATCAACTGCGCCATGGGCCTACAGGCCTAAGCCGCATAAAGCGTGGACGGGAAAGATCCAGATACTTTGGGGCCAACTTGAAGGGGAGTTGATTTTGCATTTCCGATATTTTCCGATGCAGGTGGTGGAGAATGATGAGAAAGAGGAGGGTTTCAAATCATGAAGATCCAAGATGATCCAAGATGATCCAAGATGATCCAAGTGCTAGACAGACACGGAATGACACGGATCATGTCTTGATTGTTCAGCTTGGAAGGACTTCTCGCCAGATGGCAGTAGAACGACAAGAACGACGACATCCAGAGAGAGCCGAGCGCCAGCGAGAAGTCTCCCAACTGCGATAGCTTGCAATCCCATGCGCCCACCCTGCGCGTTGGGACATGCTTTCAGGTATAAGCTCCTGGTGGCCTGCTGTACTTCCAACAGAGGTCCCCTCATCATGCCTCACGTGGCAGATCACCGCAGATTTATGTCACAGGCTATCATAGGTTTGCAGACCTCCCCATGCCTTTATTGAAGGCAGAGTGTGACTTGCGGAGCAGCACAGACGTCCCCGAGGTGCAGCATGTCATTATCAATCGATATCATTTGTAATTGTAGATATAGTATGATATAGTAGTGTTGCTACCAGTTCACCCTGCTGTGAAGCAAACAAGCATCAGCACGGGTGGACTTTGGTCGGTATGAAGCCTCTTACTATACAAAAAATGCCCCATGGTTGGCGGTATGCAGCAGTCAGTGTGGCATTCATCATGAGCAAACAGGAGCTTTGTGCGCGGGCAGACCTGAAGGTTCACCTGGAGCCATATCCACGAGTGCAGGCCAACAATCTTAGATATTCTAGATGCTGCATAAGCTTGGGTCGCAGGCATGATCAGGCATGCTTCCCACGTTTAGCAAGTCGCAACAGGTGCACATTCAATACACAAAAGTCACTAAAATATACAAACGTCGTAACAAAGGATGCACATTATCTCCCTAAAGTTTCTTCGGCTGATAAACCTTGCTCAAGCAGAGTTTCATATTCCATGCATGTACATGCCAGCAAGCGGCAAATTTAACCGCCTTCGGCGTGTTCCGCCGGCCACCATGGAAAGAGCTATCCTGTAAGCTGCAAAGAGCCATTGCGCAGGCCCAGCAAGAACATTGTTTTTGTGTAAAACATGGTGTTTGTGGATAACACAGTTTTTGTGTAAAACAGCTCTTTGTGTAAAAGATGGTTTGGAAGCAAAACATTGGTTTTGTTAAAACCACGGTTTAAGCTTGAACCAAAACGTGTGTAAACCAGGGTTTTGGAAAAGGCCATATTGAGAACGGCTTTGGAAAAGGCACAAAAGCCAGTGGATCAAGCATTGGATATAAGAAGCGACGGAGCAAACCGATGGCAAACACAACAAAAAAACGGAAACAACCATCGAAATGACAGCAAAATGTGCAAAACCAAGCCGGTGTTGAGCGAGGCGTGGGCAGAGTTGAGCCCATGGGTGGGGAGGGGGAGGGGGGGGTGGGTTCAAGTTAGACGAGGCAAAAGTCTGCGCCAAAGGGAAAGTCTAGACAAGACAAAGACAAAACAGACCGTAGTACAACTACGAACAAGCAAGATCCACAAGACACGCCGGCAGGCCGGCAGATTATATAAATGTGTTTGACCTCTAAGACTAAGAGACTAATTTCCTCCTCAAAAATGGTCATTTCACCATGCTGCATGGCTACCTCAGAAAGCGCCATCAGCCTGATTTTGTTCTGCCAGGTGATTCCAAGGCATTGGATATGCGAGGAGGGCCTTCCAAAGAGCGTCATTTGTGGACGATGACATTTTTGAAGGTTTTGATATATTCTGATCACTTTTGTGTCCCGCTGCATCTAGCAGAAACAGGAGCTTCCAGAATCTGAGCGAGCGAAGCGGAACATTTGCATAGGGCACCATGGCACCAAAGAATGCAACAGATTTCGTTCAGGTTTTTGGCAGGCATTTATACAAATTCAGTCGTTGATGCAGATCTAAAGGCACTCATGACATCTCATGACTTCATTATTTTGGATCGGCCTGGGGGCATTGAGGCAGTCAGTACTTGCCTACTACGTCCATGCCCCAGATGATCAAATGCCTCTCTTAATGTCCCTGCGACAAACTCTGTCCAAGGCAGTAAGCAGCGTTGGTTCAGAAGATGGTGGAGAGGTTTGGGGCGCCCACCCCGAGCCTCGAGAGGCGGGAACAGACCAAAGATATCCAAAGATGATAAAGATGTGGACCACCTGGTCCCATCAAAGTGTCAAATCGGCGGAGTCCATTGGTGTTGGCAATTGGCTACAGATTTAAAAATTAATGATAATAGTAAGAATGATGATATCAATCAATCAAATAAATAAATAAACAAATAGATAAATATGTATATATATATATTATACATATATAATTATAATATACGCATTATATAAAGGCACTCAAACGCACACACACACACAAATATATTACGAAAACCAGCCGGCAGGCAAGGCTGCGTTGTTGTTTGCGAACGTAGTGAGTATTAGGGGGTCTGCGGGGGTTACTGTGGCAATTGATGACCAGGAGGTCGATTTTCAATTTGATTATTTATGTAAGTGGGAAAACCGCTGGCCACAGAAGGACCTTTTCCAGGCCATGGGCCAGGTGGCAGTTTAGTGACGGTAGGGCTTCGATTCTCCCCTGGTCCACCCCCGACGGGCAAGCCGCGGGGCTGGGCATGGTATACGAGATGAACCATGCTGAACGTCAGCAGCGGAGATGGTCCGGTGGGTGTGGCATTGAAGATGCTGGACGATTCTCTGGGATTTGGGTGAAGCTTTTGCTGACGCAGGGGCTGGGCAAGAAGGGTTTTGGTATGACATGAGCCATGGTGAATGTCAGCGGCCGGGGTGGTCCAGTGCGCTTCGCATTGAAGATGCTTGAACATTCTGTGGCATTTGGGTGAGGCTGATGGATGAAGCGGCCTGGGGGCCGGATTTGGGTGAAGCTTCTGATTCTGGATGAAGCCCTGCGGGTGATATGGCTTGAGGGGAAGAGCCATGCTGAACCTCAACGGCTGATCTGCTCCGGTGGGGAAGAGCCATGCTGAACCTCAACCGCTGATCTGCCCCGGCGGGCTTCGCGGTGAAGATGCTTAAACGTTTTTGTCCGATTTGCGCGAAGCTTCTGATGGATGAAGCGCTGCGGGTGATATGGCCTGAGGGGAAGAGACATGCTGAACCTCAACCGCTGATCTGGTCCAGTGGCCTTCGGAATGAAGATGCTTCAACATTTTTGTCCGAATTGCGTGAAGCTTCTGATGGATGAAGCGCTGCGGGCGAAATGACCTGAGAGGATGAGCCATGCTGGTCTGGTCCGGTGGGCTTCGCATTGAAGGCCTGAGCGGAAGAGCCATGCTGAATCTCAACCGCTGATCTGGTCCAGTGGGCTTCGCAGTGAAGATGCCTGCACATTTTTGTCGGATTTGGGTAAAAAACCTTTTGATGGATGAAGCGCTGCGCGTGATATGGCCTGAGGAGAAGAGCCATGCTGAACCTCAACGGCTGATCTGGTCCGGTCGCATGGAAGGCCTGAGGGGAAGAGCCATGCTGAACCTGAACGGCTGATCAGGTCCTGTGGGCTTTGAATTGAAAGCTTGAGGGGAAGAGCCATGCTGAACCTCAACGGCTGATCTGGTCCGACGGGCTTCGCGTTGCAGATGCTTGAACATTTTGGTCGGATTTGGGTGAAACTTCTGATCGCTTCTGATGGATGAAGCGCTGCGGGTGATAGGGCCTGAGGGGAAGAGCCACCCTGAACCTCAACGGCTAGTCTGGTCTTCGCGTTGAAGGCGCTTTATCATTTTTTTTCAAGGCGCTGAAGATGGCTTAGCCACATGCGATCCAGTCAGGTTTAGGGTGTAGCGATGCAGATGCGAGGGGGTGAGAGACCAACCCGAGTTATGAGTTGCTTGCCGCAAGCGAGGTACACTGACCTACACATGTTTGTTGCAACAGGTTGGCGATAGTATGTACCTGTTATCAACATCGGGAACATCAAAGACCTGCACATGCGGATTTTACTTCGAGGATGCTTTGACAATCGTGTTTGAATCCATGTTCAGCCCTCGCTGGCTTTCGTTCCCTCCCTCTCAGATATTATAAATATATATATATATAACAAACATACGCGGGGAGAGAGGATGACAGATCAACTGCGATCACCACAATGAGACAAAACCGTAGTGCACGACAGGCTGGTGACGTCACGCTGCAATTTGGCGGTGCCCACATGGCAGAAAGACAAGATTCAGAAGATCGTGATCAGGCACCTACCTCATTCCAAACGTTGATTTTCTAAGACAGTTTGCGTGTTGTTTGTTTTTTTTTCTGTTTTGAAAATATTTGAGGTGCGCCTTATCGTGTTTGATTTTTTTTCTAAAGATGTTTGTGCGATGCGTGCATCCCTTTGAGGCAAGGAAATTCTTCTTCGGAGGACGGGAGGTCCAGCATCGCTCAGAGAGAGCTGTGCGAAGCAAAGTGCTGAGGCGAAATTCGGAAGTGGCAGCCATTGCCATGCCATGACCGTGATCCCTGCTGACGCAACCTTCTGACATCTGCTGACCATTTCCCGATGGGCCAGGGAGCTGATCTCACCTGCAGAGGTCTATGTTTACCTTCAATGACGTGTCCCAAGTTGACATGACAATCATGGCATGTCCCAAGCACGCCTAGAAATTGTTGTGCGTGCTGTTTGTGACAGTCGCGCAGCTTTACCGGATTTTACTGGGTACATCCGGTTACCAAGGCATGGACAAGCGAAAACCTGTGAGAGTACCTCTGGCATCAATATGGAGCGCCAGCTGCCAAGTCTGATCTGGAAGAAACTTGGAGGTTGTTGGGCTTCGAGAGTTCCCCTTGTTTTGAAGTTGCGCGAGGGTGTTGATGAAACTACTTGCATTGATGGGAATTTTCATTTGCAGTTGGGTTTTTGACGTGCACTATTACAGCCCCAGGTCCAGCCCAATGAGCCCAATCGGAGGACAGTGCGGAAGAGACGCAAGGCCATGAGAATCATGAGCCTCCTCCATCAGCCAAGAATCCTTGCCATTCCTTGCCCCTTGAGGTTCTTGAATGGATGGTGATTCGTACAGCACGTGATCGCGCGGCAGAGGTGCAACACCTTAGTAGAAGTGGATCGACAGATCCTCTCAGCACTTTGAGGTCAGATCGGCTTGTGCCATTAATGATTTGACAGGTTGTCGCGAGACAAGGTTCATCTGCAGGCTTCCTGTCAATACTGTGCTGGCTGCTCTTGTCCTGATTAATTAGTTTCAACACACCCAGCATGTCTCAACAGTTACTCAACTGGCAGCCAGGTGTGTACCATCCAGCATATGGGTACATTTGGGACGAGGCCAGGTCATGAAGACAAGCAGTGAATAGCCAATATTGAAGTACCTGCCTTTGGCATCCTGTGGCTAGAAAACATGGAAATCACCAGAGTCCGGCATGAGGAGTTCGCAATGATCCACAGCCCCCACAGAATCATGCCAGGCGATTCCGCTCACGCCAGGAGTGAAGGCCCGGCAGATTTCACTCTCTCCACACGTGCTGCTTTGGACGATGACAAGTAGAAGCTGACGCATGCTGACGCCGATGCCATCCCCTGCAGGTGTCCTTCTTCTCCTTGGGCAGGGGGGATGCTACCACGGCCAGTGCCTGGTGCCCAGTCCGCTGCTATCACAACGTACAATGTTGCGTGATGTTGTGTAGATGTGATTGAATATATTGAATCAAAGGAAGAGAAAGGATCACGAGAGAGTCGAATTTTCGAACATTGTAGATCCAGTTAACTGTGGCCAGTTGAGGTTGCATCTTTGGCATCACCTGGTGGATTTGCCATTCGCCGGCTTTCAACCGGGACCACAGTCATTTGATGCAGCGGTGTTGCCACTGGTGTGATAGTGAAAACTTGCCAGGCTGACATGGGTGGTAAGTAGATGAATGGAGGGTCTCCCACTTCGCTAGTCTTAGTGCGTTGCGTTTGACTTTTGTACAACCATCCTGCTGGTCCTTTGGTCCCACTATTTCCGCCACGATGACTACAACATACTGCAACCTTGACCATCAATGATACGATGCAGACCACATCCGTGATGATCACTCGAGTCACTGCAACAAAGACAACGTCAAAAAAGAACCTGGCAACAAGACAAACAAATGACAGCAACAGCAAGCAATAACAGACTGACTGAAACACTGTAATCACCAATTCAAGATCATGAATTGATATTCATATATTATGTGAAATATGAATTATGAATATGATGGTTTGATTATACGAGTGTAAATATGATTAATGATTACAATTGATTGCATATCACTACCACTATGATATAAATACGCATAGTAATTAATCAACATCGTCCTTATGTATAGTCATGAGCATCACTATTAGACTATTAACCTCATCATGCTCGTAATCGTTATCATCGAAATTAGGGGCCCAACAAACAGATAAGCTTTACAATGTTATACAATGTTATACAATGTTATACAACTCAACACATTTATTGAGACTTGAAAAGATTTGAAAAGTAGACCTGCATGCTGAAACCTGGGGGTGGCAACCTGCAAAGTAGTCAAATGCCGCATGAAATGGTGAATCTCCATGATCTTTGCATATCTTTGCTATTTCTATAAGTCGCTGTGGAGGTATATTGTGAATTTTTGGCATTGTTCGTGTTGAATCGCCAAATGACATGCTCCTGGCACCAAAAGATCTGAGTAAGTTTTGAGGAGAGCATGAGTACATGAACCTCTTTCGGAATAATTACCGGATGCTGCATCATGCTAGTGGGGCAGGATTGTTGTGCGAACAGTTGCCGGGAACTCAATGAGCAGAGAAACATTGTTGATTCAATCATTCAATCATGGCAACCCAGCGGTTGCATAATTATCGTAATTATGCAGTACGACTTTCTGCTGGACAAACATGATGTTTGGGACGAGGCGAAAGTATCCCACTATGAGGTGATGTTTGATGAGGCTCCATTTGACACTTGTCCTGTTATGTCCTGTTGCACTGTCCCGGGCAAAAAGCAAAAAGAGACCTTCGCTGGTAGCACCAGCTTTTGCTCGGCAGGTGGTGCCTGAGGATCGCTGGGTTTCAGCCTTCAACATAGGGCCTGATTCTTATGGACAACAGCGATTCACAGCCGATGAAATCAGAGGGATTCTTTTGTGACAACTTCTCCAACAAGAGTGTCATTTATCAGATTACTTTTGCACAACCCAAGGCATCACTTGCAACCAGATGGCTCGGTGGACAGGCTGCTTCCGGCGAAAGCTCTTGAGTCCACTGATGTCTACTGTATATATATATAGGTATACTGTATATATATGTATGTATGTGTGTGTACACGTCCAGTCCGGCAATGACATTTGTGCCCCTACATGGATCCAGACCGTGGAGCTGTGTGTGCTGGGAAGGAAAGAAAGATAAACAAACATGTGAATGACCATGACAGGGACGTCACACTGGGAGATATCATGCCAGTTTGCTCGCATAAGACTTTTGAGATTAAACCTGGCACACACTTCTTGACCTTGGCTGGCCTTTAGCCTTCGGCTAGACTCGAGATGGCGATAGAAAGAGAAGCGGAGAAAATCACACACTTTCATGCAAGCAGAGCCTTTGATTCTCCCATGGACAACCGTTTCATTGGACAAGCTAGGTGCACTACGAGGGCATGTGCACGACGCCTGAACATCAGACTAAAGCTGGGATATAGCTGACAGCCTCCCAGAGTGGATCTCCTATTAGACTCATTGTTTCTTCAAGGCAACGATTCCTTTCGCAGCATGATATCATATGACATCCACCTCCTATTGACATTATCAGATTTATCAGCAGTTGCTCAACTTGGGCTGAAATCTACTTCAAAATTTAGCCATGGCCATGATGATGTTGCGAGAAGGGCTGAAGAGCAGCCCGTGCGCCCATCTAGAGCTGGCACGTCGAACACAAAGCTATGGATGCTACGGGTCGAACCGGTTGAACCACGTGCATGGCCGTCGGAAAGACTTGCTGTCTATCTCGTGTGTGTCAGCATGCTTGCTTCGTTGCACCAGATGGGTCAGAGCTGTTCCCAGACGAAGTTCTGGCACTCTCTCCAGGGTAGACCTGACTTTGGACAAACTGGAGAATGCTGGGATTTTGGTTTGGGCTGATGGCGTTCAGTCTGAATTACCCATCTCACCAGTATATTTGGCAAAGGACTTGGCACCTTGTTTGCTGGATACTGGAAAGGCTCAGGGAGGCCTGGAAGCCACCCTCTTGGCTCACAAGATCTTGAGTGAACTGTCCTACGAAATTGGCCACATACTGACTCTGCCAGCTGCTGAGCGAGCTGGTCGATTGGATGGGCTTATGGATTTGAGCCCGCCCAAGAACCATCAGAACCACAGACGGGAGTTGAGGCGTAGGCTGCATCAGGCTTTGGACAACATGGTCCGATGGTTCTTGCATGCGCCTGAGGTAAATTTGGCAGATATTCATAGGGATTCAGTTGAATCGCTTCGTGCGTTTAGCTCCATGGCGATTGTCAGAAAGCGACAGCTGCGGAGGCTTTGCCAAAGCAGCGTAGCCTTTTCCACCAGCCCTCCCTCTGAAATAAAGGAAGAGGAGGCTAGCGTGGATGCCGCAGCCGTACATGGCCTGAAGCAGTGGAGCAAGGCCTTCAAGGAGTGGTGCTTCCGAACAGTCTGCTATTACTTTTTGTTGGATTCAGAGTTGAGATGCAGGTGGTTGACGGGCAGCCGTTCAGAGCGATTCAGAGTGACCGTTCTAACTCACACTTTGCGAAAGATTGTTGCCCAGAGGGATCAGAACCTCCCAAGGCTTTCTCCGGATGCTTGGGCTTCTGCGGTGCGAAATGCTGCTGCTGAAGTTCTAGTGGACCGTCCGCGCTTTCTGGATGTGGGAAGTTGCAGCAACTATTTCGGAAGAATCCATGGAGAATCCTTGGATGTTACGGCCCTGGACCTCGCCCCAGGACATTCGTCAGTGCTGGGCTGTAATTTCTTAGAGTTGAAAATAGGTTCTGGATCCCATATGAAAATACACGATGGACCAGAAGGTCTTGTTGCAGAGGAGCTTCCTGCCAATCACTTCGATGTTGTCATCATGGCGTTGCTGTTCTCCGTGCTGCCAAGCCCTGAAGCTCGAGGAATAGCTGCGGCGAAAGCTCGCAAAGTGTTGAAAGATTCAGGACGTGGCCTCCTGATCATTGCAGATACGAAGGGCACAGTGGGGCGTCACTGCGATCTAGCAGCTAGGACCAGCAAATGGGTGAAAGCAGTTGAAGCCAACGGCTTCAAACTGGCCAGCGATCCACAGTTACACTTGTCTCGCGAACAAGTAAAGGGTAGGAATGGATACTGGCAGCGCTCCTTTTGTTGGGCCTTTTGGACTGATGAAATTCTGTCGGGACAAGCGCCAGTTCCAGTTCCCATTCTCAGCGATTTGCGGACACCTCGCAGCTTGTCTCCTGAGAGGTTGCAGGCTCAGCAGATGCGCGAAGCCAAGCGGCAAGCGCGTGCCCGCAAAGCTCAGCTTTTGGAGCTTGCCAAAAATGCCAAGAAAAGTAGCCGGCCCCTTTAGCTTACCGCCCTGGGTAGTCTCTGTGACAATATATGAAAATTATACTCCATGAATGCTACTCCAGTGCGGTCACTCCAAGCACTTCTGCTTGTGCTCATTAATTTCATTGTTTTCCTCGAAATTTTGGCTAGTTCCAGCATGTTCCAGCATGTTCCAGCTTTTCTGGAAAGCGATTGCCCGGTTGGAATATGTTGGAATCACGTGCAGGCTTCGGCATCCCGAATTGACAATCCACGATCTTCCAGATGAGATGCATGAGATTGAGGCTCGTTGTACACATTGCAATCTTTCCATGACTCATTTGATTGCACTGTAGTCAGGAATGTTTTTTCCACTTGAATCCATTTGATATACTTGTATGACATTGTATGATGATTCCCTTGCCTTATATGCATATATGCCATATATAGTGATTATAGTGTATATACATACATACACACTCCCACACACATTCACTATTATAATATACAGTGTATATATATATAATGTATAATATATATATAATATATATAATATATTATATATTATACGTATTATATACACATATGATTATATGCATTATTATTATATGTTAGATTATCCTCATGCATGTAGTAATATATGCAATGTATTACATGAATATATAAAATATTATCTTTATGGCATCTACATTTTTGTGTATCACTGCATTGCCTTCCTTCACATCGCCTTTTTTCCAGATTCTTCCAGGTTTCTGTTGGCCTTTCTGCTGCCTTTGGTGGAGAAAACGTCCACTGGAGCAAGTCAGAATCCCAGCAAGCATTGTTACATGTCAGGATCACAGATAGATTCTGTTGCTGCCGGCACTGCCCCAACTAAGGCCAAGCAAACCTTGCCGCGTGCTGAAGGCCTCCGGTAAGGGTTGAAAGAGGTGACACGCAGCTACTAGCAGGTGGATGAAGCAGCATTGTTCTCGTCTTTCATGTGAAAGCTTTGGCCGGCCTCAATTCCAAGTGACATGCACCTTTACTTCACCTGTCTGCCAGGCAGGCTTCCAGCCTTTACCCCCGCTTCCGCCGCTGCCGACCGTCTTGAGCATCAGTAGAGCCTTGTCAAGATAGGTGTCCTGGAAGGTGCGGAAGCCACATGAAGCCACATGAAGCCACCACAGTACAGTGTGCATTACCGACTCCCATCCGACTCCCCACTATTACTATATATCCCACTACAACGTGTACAGCGGAGTTAGCTGAAGCCCGACCAGCTGCAGTCTTTCTCCCATCCACATCAATATTCACAAGATTTCACAAGCAGGGCCAGTGAAATGGCATATTTTTATCTCACCGGCTCACCAGGTATCACCAGGTGTTTCAGTTTTGTCAAGTGATCATTCTGATGTAAACTGCTGAGCCAAAGCTGAGGAGCCCAAGTTCGATGGATTTTGCCGAAGGAGGGCACCAATGTGCATGTTCTTTTTTGTGAATCATAACTTTTTTTTTGGGGGGTTGATTACTAACATTTACTAACATTACATAACTTTACTATATACTGTATACTGATTCTTGTTCCAATTCGTTCATCGCTTCCTGCTTAAAACGGCCGCCTCTTGGGAGGAAGAATGTTCAGAAATTACAGTCGCCATTGCTTAAACCATCTTAAACCTGACTAACAGCGCAGGTTTCGGGGGGTCGCTTTCCCTTTTTTCACCCTTTTTTTCACTCCGGAGGAGCCTGCTCCACTATGCTTTCGTTTGAGGATGCGCGAACGCGGTGCGAAGGTCCCTGATGTAAGTTTACTGTGCTCTACTATTTTTTGGTTGCTTCCAAAGAGAATAACTTTGAAATCAATAATAATTAATTGAGAATGAATCATGCATTCAGCCTTTGCAGCTCACCTTCAGAGCTCGTGATCTCACTCTCTTGATCCACTCCAGTTTGCCTTGTCAGGAATGGTTCTGCTTGGATTCTTTTGGTCATGCACGCTTGGGCCTCAATAGCAGGGCGTGCTGGGAATGGCCAAGCTCCTTTGAGATGCTTTGATATGATTTAAGATATTGCCCTCAAAGACAAAGGACGATACTCGGCCAGGTGATGAAGACACCACGTTGGCTTGGCGCTCCCGGCTGGTGCCTTTAGCCATGCCCTCAGGTTTGTCAATAATATGTCAACATTTTTGGGAGGCAGAGGTGCAAGATGGTGCAAGAATAAAGTTTGCAGGGCTGCCTTTCGTCGCTTCTTCCATTTTCTTGCTCCTTGTGCTCTTCGTCTCATGTTTTTCTCTTCTGAGGGCTCAAAAGTACTTTAATTTAGACTTGTTCTTCAGGTTGAAGGCCTGTGGGTCAGCGCATTTGGTGACTTTGACAAACGGAAGTCCTCTACACCAGGGGCTGCGAGGGTTCGCAGCGCTGCTATCTCAGAGCTTCTTATTACAGATTCCATGCGGTCGAAGGCCATTGAGCATGTTGACCATGTAGGCATTGGTTTGCAGGCTCGATAATCTGAAGCTGGCAAATTGATGATTTTGCGATTTGCTTAGGTCGACCGGGCAACAGGATCCGTTGAAGTCGAATTTGTCAGACCTCAAGATGACTTTTGCATTGGCAATCCCATCATGCTTTAATAATTACGCGGAGAACGCGTGAAGCGGACATTGATAGAACCGTGAAGCCATGGTCATGGCATGTATCATCATGTATCCTGACATATTTTGCTCATTCCCAGCGCGCTGGGTGGATTTGGATGGCAGGTGGAGTTCCTACCTCCGTACTGCTCTCAGATAAGTTCGCAGCTGGCGTGCAGCTGGATTTGTACGTCATGCCAAGGCGCTGGCATGCACGCAGTGCTCGCAGAAGTTGGGATTGGTCCAGGAGCTCATCACATTGGCAGAATATGACGAAACGAAACCATTATACATTTAAAAAGGACCAGAGAGTTGCCTTTGTCAATGTTATGTCAATGTGATCCTTTGTGCAGCTATTCAGTGATCAGGACGAGGTACACACGATACCGTTTGCCTGGATCGAGGTCCTGTTTTGTCAAACTTTTGCTGTGTTTGTCCAGAAGTTTCTCTTGCCATGACGTTGCTGTGCTTGAGAGCTGAAAGCAGGACCAGAGAAGATTTTCTGCTCATGCAATTGTTTGAACATATTTTTGCTGCAAGTTTTGACTTCTCAAGAAACGGCGTTGCCGTCGTTGCCATGCCGCTTCGAGTGGAAGGAATCTCTAGGAAAAGGCGAGATTGGATGAGATTGAACCATGTTCATCCAGGTTCATCCAGGTTCAAAGTGCTAAGTCGGGTCTGGCTGCTACCATACCGTGTGTGTAATATTTGTATATCTTTGCGCATCTTTGCACAGAAAAAGAGCTGTTTGCAGGTATCAGGCGTATATTGTTGTTGGAATTATAGAAAAAAATATAATCAGGATGGTCAGGCGAAATATATGTCTGAAACTGCCCTTTCCATCACTTTCCAAGATGCTTGTCATGTAATGTCATGGATGTTGCATGAGGCTGTGCCTTTTGGTACTTCAGGCTCGAAAAAAGTTGCTTTGCTGCAAATATATGCAAATATAGCAATGCGCACTGGGGTTTTGTGCGGCTGGCATCATATGGATTCATATGGCATCATGGCATTCTCTCGCACTGGAACGATTCTGTGGGCGTTGAGGCATTCTGGTCGCCAACCTGCGCAAGCACCCCCTGATCCTACAAGTGCATCCCGGAAGCTTGGTTGATCTTGGTTGTATTTCTGTGGTGCGTGATCAATTAGCCAATTAGTCAACTACTAGTCACTAGTCAATTTTTGGTCAATTATTTGAGACAATTGCATTCATTTCTTGCATTTTCTTACTCTATATTTCATGCATGTTCATGATGGTGTGATTGTACTAAAGTAGCATCAGTCAGTTCTATAATGTACTGTATCACTATAAACACCCTATGCTTCTATCTGCCATAGGCTAGGACATAACATATTGAATCGTATTGATCACATTATCACCCCCAATTGTCTCGTATGTAAATTCAATCAAAAGAAGGAGATTGAAGGAAATCATGCTGGACATTGATGCACCCCTTTCCACGTTCCGGTATGTCCTTTCAACGTTCCGTCCTTTTTGTTCCACATTCCAATATATAGGCGTTCCATGGTTTGTCCACCGTTTGTCCTGTTTCTCCATTTTTTTCAAAGCAAACCACTTTCCCCAAACAGGGCCAGATTTCTCCAGAAACTACTAAACTATACCCGTTGAAATTTTTGTTACTAAATCTGAGGCCTCAGGGCCGTTACAGAATGGTTTTTGGCTACCATTTTGTGCAAAATTTTGACCCTGGGTTCTGCCATCTTGTAAGTGGACCCCCCCCTGGTACCGGAATTTTGCATTGGAAGTGCGAGTTTGTTACCCTCCAGTCCCGACCATTCTGTCGGAGTCTGGAGGGCTAATCAATAACCACTACAAATTGGATGGATTCAAAGCGTACATGGATAATACTCAACTATAGCCCCTACAAACTGGATGGAATCAAAAAATCACAGAATAATTTTCATAGCCTAGGAGATCTCAAATAAGAGTGTATATTGAATGCATCAAGTTCCAATGCAGTCTGATAAGTGCACTTTATTGATGCCAACGTGAACAAATTTAACATCAGTCGCGACTTGCGAGGCTCAGCAACAATTAGCCCAGGCACCCCATGACAACCTTTTGCTGTCCCACTGCGGCTTACCCATGCCTTCTATGCACCGCGACTCGGGTTGGCCGGGCTGTTGCAGGTTACTTCCCAGGGATCCTAGGATAGTGCGAGTATAGCCACCCCCAGTCCCCACCATTCTGTAAAGGGCAAATCGAGCCAACGGATGCGAGCGGATGCGAGTCGAGCAAAATCGGTGACTCATTTTGTAACTAGGGGTCAGATAATATATATATATCGATATTTATATTTTTTGATTATGACATCCAACGTTGTATTTAATGTTTAGCTTGGCCACTCAGACAGCGTCACGCCAAAACAGACGGATGAACGCAAAAGAACGGAAAAAATGAACCGCGACTCGGGTTGGCCGGGCTGTTGCAGGTTACTTCCCAGGGATCCTAGGATAGTGCGAGTATAGCCACCCCCAGTCCCCACCATTCTGTAAAGGGCAAATCGAGCCAACGGATGCGAGCGGATGCGAGTCGAGCAAAATCGGTGACTCATTTTGTAACTAGGGGTCAGATAATATATATATATATATATATCGATATTTATATTTTTTGATTATGACATCCAACGTTGTATTTAATGTTTAGCTTGGCCACTCAGACAGCGTCACGCCAAAACAGACGGATGAACGCAAAAGAACGGAAAAAATGAACCGCGACTCGGGTTGGCCGGGCTGTTGCAGGTTACTTCCCAGGGATCCTAGGATAGTGCGAGTATAGCCAGTCCCCAGTCCGAGCCAACCGAGCGGATGCGAGTCGAGCCGGTGACTCCTAGGGGTCAGATAATCATCCAACGTCCCAAGACAGCGTCATGAACGCAAAAGAACGGATGAACTCGTAGGTTAGGGATGCGAGTATAGCCACTCCCCACCATTCTGTAAAGGGCAAATCGAGCGGATGCGAGCGGATGCGAGTCGAGCAAAATCGGTGACTCATTTTGTAACTAGGGGTCAGATAATATATATATATATATCGATATTTATATTTTTTGATTATGACATCCAACGTTGTATTTAATGTTTAGCTTGGCCACTCAGACAGCGTCACGCCAAAACAGACGGATGAACGCAAAAGAACGGAAAAAATGAACCGCGACTCCGGTTGGCCGGGCTGTTGCAGGTTACTTGCCAGGGATCCTAAGATAGTGCGAGTATAGCCACCCCCAGTCCCCACCATTCTGTAAAGGGCAAATCGAGCCAACGGATGCGAGCGGATGCGAGTCGAGCAAAATCGGTGACTCATTTTGTAACTAGGGGTCAGCTTGGACTGCCATTTTGTAACAAAAACCTTCCTCGGTGAACGTTGGGTTCTGCCAACTTGTAAGAAGGGCACCTTGGGGACGCCGTTCTGTAGCTACAAAATGGGGCTCCCAACCCCTCGGGTCCAATCTGAACGGGGATACTAAACTACTTTGAAATCCAGCTCGAACTCCCAAGTGGTGGTGGTTTAGATCCCCACAAGAGGCAATAATGGGATGCGAACGCCGATCGGAAATACCAGCAAGTACGAGCGACCATACCGGCGATACCTGCGAACTACCATACCAGGAACCATGATAGCCATAGCATGCCATAGCTGACATCCCGTGACATCCCGATATAGCCTTTGGAATTCAGTGGAATCATATTTAGATTTCCGATGCTTGCCGGTCGTATCCTCGGTCGATGTGTTTGCATCAAACACGTGCATTTACATTTTTTTCTTGAATCAAATCTGTCATAATCTGTCTATATCTGTTTACAATCGTTTTGATGCAACAATCACACAACTGACAACACTGCACACGCGCACACAACAGACACACACACACACAGACGCACAGATACACTACACACAAATAATTCAATACAATGTATAGCCTAAAGCTTTATAATTCTCCATGTCAGTCCATGTCCGTATGTCCAGGATATACTTATGTGATCATTGTGATCTTATGTGAACATGTGTCTGATCTATTATGCTTTGCTGTATCGCAAGCTTATTTAAAAACTCTTGATGGGAACAAAGCGCGATTCCACAACTACGTTCTCACGATTCCAGAACCAAAACCACGCGATTCCAAAACCAAACCACGCGATTCCCCAACCAAAGCCGGCGCGCTTCCACAACTACATTCTCACGATTCCACAACCACACTCCCACGATTCCACAACCAAAATCTCAAGATTCCACAACCAAACTCCCACGATTCCACAACCAAAACCTCAGGATTCCACAACCAAAATCTCGCGATTCTACAACTAACAACTATTGATTCCACCAGGAAGACTGCCGCTACTTACTTTCATTGTAGAAAATTCTTGACAAGCAAAGAAAGAAACTTAAATCCCCCACCCCCGCAAAACAATAGATCAAATTTAATTATTCAGCCAGCAGCCCCGCTTCTTAGGGAAGACTATCGCTACTTACTTTCATTATAGAAAATGCTTGACAAACTACAAGAAACTAAAAAATCCCCCACCCCCGCAAAACAATAGATCAAATTTAAGTATTCAGCAAGCAGCCCCGCTTCTTAGGGAAGACTGCCGCTACTTCCTTTCATTATAGAAGATTCTTGACAAGTTACAAGACATTAAAAAATCCCCCACCCCCGCAAAACAATACATCAAATTCAAGTCTTCAGCAAGCAGCCCTGCTTCCTAGGGAAGACTGCCGCTACTTACTTTCATTATAGAAGATTCTTGACAAGTTACAAGAAACTTACAAAATCCCCCACCCCCCCAAACCAATAGATCAAAATTTAAGTATTCAGCCAGCAGCCCCGCTTCTTAGAAGATGCGACCGGAACTTGGGTTAGAGCAGTTCATGTCTTGGTTTGGTTCAAATCCCTTTTGGTTTTGGAATAACCTGTTTTGGTTATGGAATAATTGTTGGTTGAGGAATCATACGGTTTGGTTAAAGAATATTTCGTCTTAGTTGTGGAATAATCGTTGGTTGAGGAATAACACTTCATGGTTGAAGAATAATACGTTTTGGTTATGGAATAATCCTTGGTTGAGGAATAATACGTTTTGGTTACAGAATAATATGTTTTGGTTATGGAATAATCTGTTGACCTCTTGCTGGCCAAGGAGCTCTGCGGCTAGTACTGGCAGAGTAGGGTGTGGGAATGCGCTGGAAAGGTCGTTGGAAGCACAGTGCAGCCCGAGGGCATCTGAGGGCCAAACGAACAAAAGGGTGCAACTCAGAGACCCTTTGATGATCCTATCATGACAATTGTTAAAATGTTATATAAGTTGTATATATATATAATATAGTAGTAAGCAACAAGATAACCCATTACCCTTGCATAGCGAACACTTCACGGAATTCAATGGGAATCAGCTTGCTGCAATATGCTGCAACTGCTTGTTGCATCTTGTTGCAAGACTCATTGACCTTGCCATATCTTGCCATAACCTGTGCAAAGCCTGGATGTAAGGTCTGCCGTTCCTCGGACGCAGTGGACATCAGTGGACACTTTGTCTTCAAGCATCTTCAAGCGGATGGCTTTGGCCAAGGCACAGCGTCAGAGGGTGCAACGAAAAACAAAGAGTTCTTATCTTCGGCGTTCGCACCTTACTCGCTGAGCATACCTGAACAGGGCTGAGCATGCCAACATGGTTGAGTTTAACTTTCTTAAGTGGCAGACAGTGCCAGACTGACAATTACAGTCTCCCTATCCGACCGCCAAGGAATGTACCGGGTACATTCACTCAGGAACATAGCCAGACTAATGCGTGGTTACTGCCTCGAGGGTGAGGATGATTTTGATTGGGAAATCATGGGCTCTGACCTCGAGTCATCTGAGGATGTGACTGGACTTTAATTAATTATTTGTCCGTGCCCTTTTTTGGGTGGGTGGGTGAAGCAGTATAAGATGTCTAAACAAATCAGCTCAGCATGACCAACTCCCGCGGTGGAGCCAGTATTCAGATGTATTCAGCACATTTGTGTTGAGGTGATGCTTCCTTGTGGTCTTCGCGAACATGAAGCAGTAAGTATGATGCGGCCTAGCAGCAACGAAGGTCAAAAAGTGTAGAGCACAGGCTTGTGATGACTTCTGCGCCGCTACATTTCCTTTCGTCATCTTTTGATATCTTTTGTTCTTTTTCACTTTTCAAATCCAGTTGTTAGTTGCGCAACAAGGATTCTTGGCCTCAAGAGAGTTAGAGTATATTAAAGTATTAAGTTGGTGGCAATAGCCGCGACGATGACCGATGATGTATAAGTCGAGTACTTATGTTCCGAGTCAGATTAGCGAACTTGATGCAGCCAGCCCTCTCTTGAGCCTATCTCTTCTCAATGGATCCCCTCACAAGCCACACTCGCTCTTCTCGCCTTTGAATCTACGTCATGTGACTGCTTGAGGCTGTTTGTGCCGTTTGTGCCTATATTTACAGCTTTAGATCGAGTTGCCACTTTCGTCTAAATGCAAGACTTAGTCCCCTCTTTGCAGGCATCGTGAGCTGACACCAGAGGATTATGAGCTCCTTGGTTACACCTGACGCAGACATAGGCTGCAGAATAAAACAGGCCTTTCTTGGCACCACCAAAAGGTCTGGCATCGAGCCGAGGAAGCTATGCAAGCTTGATGAGGCGGTTCCAAAAAGGAACACCGTTGATGAAGGCTCCAGCTGCAAAATGGTGGCATTTTTGGGATCTTGTCAAAAGCTGTGGATCCTGGGGAAGTTTGAGAAATGATGCCAGAGGATGTTTGATCATGCTTCGAAGATTTTGAAGGCGAGGTTGACAATTTACCCCGACTTCGTGGTCGTGAGAAGTCCAGTGGAGAGTGCGGGGTGTGCACCTGGGCATCATTGGGTGTGTCTACTCCCAGGAAGCGTTGTTGATGTGCAGAGTTTGGAATGTTTGCATCAAAACACATTCTAAATAATTCAATTAAGAATTCTATCAAACAGAAGAAATATGAAGAGTCAACATCCAAGGCGACGCCCATGGTGAAATGCAGAGTTGCTTCAGACATCTTCAGACATCTTCAGACATCTTCAGACATTTTCAGATGGAAACCACCATCCACACACCAAAGGTTTGTCAGACCTGAGCTCTGGTGAAGTGGCGAAGCTGCCATGTAGTCACAGGTCCAGCCCTCGGTCAACGATGAGGCGCACGCTGGCACACGACATATGAGCTTTTGGTCTCTGTGTGCTTGTAAGGTTCCACATCCCTTGTATCAAGAAATGGCTCACGTGCCTGCATCTGCGATTGGTGTCGATTTGCACAGTGCTTGCTTTAATTAGTGCGGAATGCTTTGGGTATCTTTTGTTTTTGTCGTTACTGTACATTTCGTTCTGTGGTGAGGGAGGCCAGAGGGTGAGCAATTGGTTGCCAAGTCAGATTCGTTGTGGCAGCCGAGGCAATGCAAGAATACTTGTCCAATTTGTTCTGTCCCACTTAGCCAGGCGTACTCAGAGGCCAGTCCGCGTGTGATGTGCAGATGTTTGATGATGTTTGCAGAAGTTCGCTGTTTGGACTTGATTGGGCTCACAGGTTCCAAATCTATGTTTTTTCTCAAGTGTTGCCGGATTTTTGAAGATCAATTTCACTAATTTTAGCGGCTGTGTGGTGTCGGTGTCAGTGTCTGTGTGTGTGCGTGAGTGTGTTGGGGTGTTCTTGTTTTTTTTCCATCATTTTCCAAGGCTGCCTGAAGCTCACGGTGTTCGATGCTGCAGATCGCACCCAGCCAAAGGCCCTCAGAGCCCGCAGAATCTTGCGGGCTCTCGCTGCAAGCTCGTGTTGAGATGATGAGACTGCCCCTAGCTGCGTGGCAGCACAGCTCACGAGACTGGGGGCTGCTTCTGGCCTTTGACAGGACAGGTCAAAAAGACATGTCATGTCTATATATACACAGATGCAGAATGATGAACATGACAGAAAACCATAGAAAACCATACAAATTTGACACGCAATGGTGCAACTTCTTTGTTTTCTTGGCATGTAGTTCAACCCCTTGCGAGAACACAAGTGTTTGCGATAATGATGAAAAATGGGAAGTGAATTGAAAAAAGGCGCTGCACACGACATGACTACAGGGCCAGTGTGTAAGTCCCGATTTTTTTTTGTGAGCCTTTGGCAGTAGCCATCGCAAAGCGAGACTGGCACACGCGGTCGAGGTGTTTTTCGTATTATTATCAGTATGAGGCCGAAAGTGTTCACTGGAATGTACTGCATCCAATGCATCCATCACTATTGCAGGGAGTACGGTCACTACAGTGTATCTCAAAGTCATCCCATTTTAGATGTAGAAACGCTGATAATTAATTTCTTTCATTTTCACATATTTTCATCAAGTTCAGCTTATGTCAATGAGGGGTGCATCATGTTCTTTTGGCCCCATGTAGTTTAGGTGCAGGCCACTGGCCGATGTACATCGACGCATCGGGACCGGAGCTATTGCGAGTCTGAAAAGACGTGCAGCCTGTCCAGCCAACGAATGATGCCACATGATGGGCAACATGATGCCAGAATGTCATGTAATATTGATATATATTGATAACATTGTAATGTCCAATGCAGTTTGTATACATTGGGGTGATGTGTGCTGATGCATGATGATTTATCATTATTTATCCACCATAATATATAATTACACATAAAATGGGGAGGGAGAGAGAGAGAGAGAGAGATAGATTGAGATAATTATACACACTCACACATGCATATCTTTTCAGATTTCTCAGCTTGCTGCCAGGCCGTTTGGGTGGCTGATGGCAATAGCTACCTCAAGGCAGCAGCATTTAGGACCAAGATTTCCATAGATTTCCCAAGCTGTCGAGCTGTTATCGGATTTGCCGCTGCGAGTGCCATCGGTCTCAGGGGACGCCCATGGCATCTACCGAAGAGAAGCAGGCCTCTGTCATCAAACGCGACCAGTAATGGAATCACAAGTCAGCACTTTCACCCATCTGTTCGTTGAAAGGTCTCAGGCAGTGTGAACGAAGTTGGAGGTCGCATAGATTCTGCGTCCCCTGCTTAGAACACTGCCGCTTCAGATATGCTTTTAGACTTTTGCTTCATGAAGCAGCTATGTCATAGATGTCATAGGCCGTCATAGGTTATGGTGACCAAATGCGTTTTCTTTGCGGCACTTGCACCAGTGCAGACTGCAGGATCTTGGAGGTGGATGAGGATAGGATCCAGGTAAAACCTCGCACTGTGATTGCTTTTGAATGCTTTTGATGGACACGTCGTGCCATCTACCACACTGATTCCCAAGCTGGAAGTGAGCCCTTGCCATTGTCTTGCACTTCATGTCAGCACATGCTCACCTAGCCATGTTCGAAGCATTTCGTAGCTTTGGCTTCAAGTCGTAGACTTTAGCTGCGCAGTACAGGACTTGCCCGTTTTTGTCGGTGGCGATGACGGTTCCAGATGATGCCCGGGAACGTGCTACAGTTGGGCGGATTGGACAGTTCAAAGCCACCCATTCCCGCAGTGATGAAGCTGCAAGGCTAACAGCGGCGTTGACCATGCAACAGAGCGACAACCGGCAAACAAGGTTGGAGCAGATGCGCCGTGTAGCCATGGAGGCTTTGTTGGGTGGAAATTCTCAGAACGACCTTGAAGAGGAGGTTGAGATTCAAGACGATGAGGATGAAGATGTCGATGGTGATATGGACATGGATGGAGGCTATGGCAAAGGCAAAAAGATGCAGCGCCTGCGGCGCTTGCATCGAACTCTATTCTTTGCCCGACAGTTGCAGGTGCCAGATTGGATGCTTGTGCCTCCCAGTGATTTGGCTCAATCTTGGTTGGTACTTGCAAAGCCTGAGGGTGAAAGATGCCTTCTCCTGTCAGATGGTGGCCGCGTCGAAGTGCGCAAGAAGAATGGTTATGTCTTGGAACGCTACACAGATTCCCGCCTTCCCCGAGGCTTGACTATCCTCGACGTAGTATGTATCGAGGGTCCTTCAAAGCAAGGCCAGCAAGCTCCCAAGACACCTTCAGAGCCTCCGGTTTCAAAGATGGAAGAAGCTCCAACACAAGAGGACTGCGAGGGAGAAGAGGCTGAATCTGCAGATGAAGACATGGGCTGCCAAGGTGGCAAGAAGGGTGGGAAAGGCCGTCGTCGTCGGCCACAAGGAAACAGAAAGTATGCTGTTTGTGATGTCTTGGTCTGGGGAGATGTTGACTTGGCCGCCACTGAAGCAGAATGTCGCTTGTTCTGGCTTGAGTCCCGCTTTGAGGAGATGCGGGAGAAGGCTCCCAGAAGAGCAAGGCCTCTTCAACTGGTGCGTGCTTTGCCTGCCACTGCTGAGTCTCTGAAGGAGTTGTACTATGGTGACTTCGGTTACCTGAAAGATTCCTTGCTTTTCCTGCACCGAGAAGGGCGTTATCAGGTCTCAGAACCTGTTACCCCGGTGGCACGCCTGTGGCGGGATCGGCACGTGAGCCGGTTTGTAGTGGACACGCCAGATGAGAAAGGCCAAGAGTTGCCGTCCAAGCAATCCGTGGTCCTTGAGATTCGTGGTGGTGGCCGCTTGAGAACAGCAGACCGGCATTTGGTTGCACAGTGCAGTGAAGAAGACCTTGCAAAGCTGCAGGGTGGACCCGGTGGACAGTTGAAAGCCAAGGCACTTGTCCGTTGCGATATTCAGGCCATTGACTTGGTGAAGGGTCTCATGCAAGTGGTGCCTGTGGCCCATGTATCTGCAAGGTCTCGTGTTTGGGCTGATTCCTGGGCTCGCATCGCCTTTCAGAATCTTCACCGCGAAGGTCAACAATCAATGCTATCTTTCGATACCCTTTTGCAGGCAGCCAGCTAATTCCATAGAAGTTGGCAAAGGTCTGCTTCCCGGAGCAGTTTGGGGAGGACCTTTGCATCTGCTGATGCTAGGCAACTTGTATCTGCATTATCTGCTGTCTTGTCTCGGTAAGATGCTGAGATACCAAACAGTCTGAAAAGGCAGAGAAAACTTTGTTAATGTTTGGCAGCGCGCCATCTTGGCTAAACCAGTCCACAACCATTGCTTGCTGGGCAGTCTTGAGTTTTGTCAGTGTGTGTCAGTCCCAATGACTGGCAGACGGCAGCAAATTGTGCAAAAAAGTGCCGTTCATGCACAGTGCCAACAGCGAGATAAGTTTGAAGTCCCACTGCAGACACAGCGCATCCTGCTTGCCATTCTTTCTAGATATTTCTGGCTACTTTTTCCTGGGTAACTTTTCATGACGGCAGGTGCTTGATGAGCGGTTTCCTTAGCGATTGACCCCTTGGGGAAATGGTGCTGGGATGCTAGTGTGAACGCAGGAACTGCAGGAGGTTTGAAGTATGAAGTGTCTTCCAGCGAGTAATTACTGAGTGCTGGCACACAGTGATGCAGCAGCTTACAGCTGCTGCCAAGATTCTGCAAGGCAATGGCTGCAACTGCTGGTGAAGAAGAAAAAGCTCGAGATGGTGCCCCGCCGTGTTTGACAGTTCAGCAGGATGGCTGGGATGCTATCAACTTGCAGGTAGGAAATGATTATGATTGTACAGTGCGCGCCTTTCGAAACAGAGGCATGATAATCATGATATCACACTGTGGCTGCCTTTGTCATCCCGGCAACCTTTTACCGTTTCAGGTTCAGCTCACAGGGCATGAAGTGGTCGGGCTCAAAGCGGAGGTCAGCTACGAATTCTCAGTGAAAGGCTCAGTTTAGGAAGCTGTCCACTGTGACAAGTGTGCCTTTCGGTGCTTGTCCAAAATCTATCCTATTGTCCTATTCGTTTATGTTTGAATATCATTGAATATCATCATTTTGGACCGTTGAACTCCTCACGCACTCCCCACAAAATGAAGCACTCAAGGTTCAAGCCTTGACTACTGGCGGCTGGTACGGGCCTTACTTTTCGTGAGTTTTGTTACATATACATACATAATCATACATATGCGTAATATTTACGCAATCACACCATACAGCAATACATCTCATGATTGCTGCCTTTTTGCCCAAATCCGCATTGAGTTAATGCAATTTGCAACTATTGATAGTGCTTGTGGATGTTTTGGCCCATGGCGGTCGCCTTCAGGACAGAATGGAGCACACCCGGCACCATACAGATGCCTCGCATCGGGTATGAGCAAGAGCAATTGGTTAGTGCTAGTCTCGGAGCAAGCGCGCCATTGTCAACCCGATACCAATCGGACAGACCAACAACTCTTTTACCAGAAACCTGCTGCCATCGTTTCAAAAACCTGCCATCTGCTGCCCAAGGTGAGAGGAGAGCGAATCCTTTGTACCGAGCAGATTTGCTGCCGCAGGAGCCGCATGGAATTGACTGATGTCATACTGCTTGTGGTGTAGCCATGAGCACTTATGAGCCAGGCCTTGTACAAGGAATACGAAAGGCTGGATTTGAGAGCCCACTTCAGAACTTCATTTTGATTATTCTTGATTTCATTTGGTTTTGGGGCCTTGGGGCCCTTGGGGCACTACAATATACTACAATGCATTTTTAGATAAGTCGATCTATATCATAATTTTAAAACAATTTATTGAAATTGTATGAAATCGTACTGTACTGGTTGCACTGGTTGCATGTCAGTTGACACCAGAGCTTGGTTCTAATCGATTCTAATTTGCCTATTTTTGCATTCTTTTTCACTGCCCATGTTCAATAGATTTTGCAAGGTGTTGGGACTCGGTGGATGAGAGTCTGACAGCCGACCGGCTGGACCGAATTCATCAAGTACTTCATGGAAAGAAGGCTGGACCGACTTGGCTTGCTGCGCCATCTGATGATATATCTGATGTCATTTGTGAATGGCTGCAGCCACTGCATCCTCGAAGTCAATGCACAGAGTTGACGGATCTCGTTCCTTGGCCTTCCGCTGCAGGATTTGGCAGAAGAGTTTGATCACGAGCTCTCCAGATGGCTAGTGGACATGGAGGGCCCCATCCGTGAAAGCTCGCGAATGCTGGAGGCAAGGCCATAAATAAAATACATAATATGTTTCAGTCCTGCCTGTAGCTTCCCTGCATTTCCCTCCTGAGTTTGTGGTATTTTGATGTATTTTGTAGTGACAAGCCTTTTTCATCCGTTTTCCCATTTCCAACATGTTTTCAAAACCTGTTTTCATTATGAAATTTATGAATCGCCAGGTAGAAGCGCGGCTGTTGCTGCAGGATCTCGTGAGCCGCAAGGCGTTGGGAATTTGCGTCAAAATCGTCAAATGGGGTTGCCGCAGTTGCCATTCTGCAAAGTGGATAAAGTGGCCGTTAGGGAGAAACATTGGAGATGACCTAGACACATCTAGACACGTGCGGCGTCTAATTTTCTGGAGAACTTAGATGAACTTAGTATACTCATTAAAGATTCACAGATTCCATCTCTAGATGGTGCTTCTAGCCCACCTTTAGTGTGCAAGAATATGCAAGAATAGACAGTGTGGTGAAGTGATGACTGACTTTTATCGGGACTGACCCGAGATGGATTTCAAGTCTTGCAAACTGAGAGGCGAATGTGAATTACAGAGATCAAGCCACAGGGCGAGTACCTCTGACGTATGCGGCGACCTTATGCATGCCTTTTTTCTTTTAGAATACGTTTCCCCAACCACTGTGTTTTACACTCTATATGGGGTTCTTACGGTAATAGTTGAGGCCGGATTGATCGAGGGTTCGCACATCCGTGTTTGACTAGTTTGGCGACCTTTGCAGCACAAGAGTTCCTCAATCTTCTGCTTTTGAAGGTAGCCTCGCACGAAATGTGTTCGTGGAGACCTCTCTTGCAGAGGTGTGTTCTCAACTGCGTGCGCTGGCCATTCGTGGACCTATGTACGTTTTTTGCGTGGCAGGCGCCAGAGATTGGTCACAGGATGTCACAGGTGAGAGGATCAGAACCTCCTGTTTGGCAGGCGCAAGGCTTCGGGATGAATCAAGCTCTTCCAGGATCCTCTACTGTCCTCTACAAGGTATCCTTGAGATCTTGGTCTAGATCTTGTAGGGATCCTTGTGAGGAGATCTTATAGAGATGAGGGCGAAATCCTCTGAGAGATCCTTCATGATCCTTCCATCCAGATTTTGAAGATATCCTGTTGGAAGTGCTTGTGTGCAAGCCCTTGCGGGATGCACTCTTTGGGGTTCTGGTGTAAGACTCTTGGAGGATTTATGAAGGTCGTTCTTTGACGATCTTGCGATGTTTTCATAGAGGTCCTTGTGTCAAGATCCTGATCAAGAGCTTGTAAGGGTCCTTGTGAGAAGATCTTGTCGAGATCTTGGTGAAATTTTCTGAGGAGTCCTTCCATGAAGATCTTTGCTAGAGGTGCTTGTGTGTAAGCTCTTGTTGGGTTCTCTTAGGAGGTTCTTGTTTCAAGGTCATGTAAGATGCCCTACAAGGGCCTTAGCGTGACGATTTTGTATGATTTTGTGAGATTCTTGTAGAGGCTCTGGTAGTCACCTGGTAGTCGCTCTCTTTGGAGTCTCTTGCCGAAGTGTACAGTGTAAAGTTTTGAAGGGCTGACTGTCAGAACATGTCAGAAGCCTGAGGCTTGTGAATACGGCTGGAAAGTGAAGACTGGCATCATCGAGGTGCTGAGTTTGACATGAGAGTTCTTGTAGCTGCATGCCGTACATTGATAGACATTGCACTGCTTCCCAGCAACATGCGGTCATGCAAGGAGCTCTTAAAGCTTCGGGCTGATGTGGACTCCATGAATGTGACTTGAATGCAGAAGGCTTGAAAGATTTCTTAAGGCATTCTCAACGAGTGGTTTGCTTCGATTGTCCAGCCATTTGTCTTTTGTTTGCATTACGATCCAATGGTTCCATGAAGGCGTTACAGCACATTATTGCAAATTACTTGCCAAGGATGCTAGACACACTGCACTTGGAATTGCGGCGGCAGGGGGTCACGCAAATATTGCGTGATACTCAGTGCTTTGAGAGGCTTGAGCATGGTCCAATCTTGTCCAATCTGTGGCATGTTAGCTGCTAGCCCACCGTAAATTCATGTCGTCGTTTCCCATGGGATCTCATGGCATGCCGTGGAATGGCAACAGAAGAGTTTCGTTAAGGTGGAAATTCTTTTGGCACATGGAGCTGATGCCACGATTGTAAGCTTGCAGGCACACTTTTGACTCGGTGTTTGTGGAATCGGATGTCGATACTTTTCCTATCTCTATAATATATATAATTATGTTATATATATATAATTCTACAATTATAATATACTATTATTAATTATATATATATATATTTATTACTATATTATTGATATTGTAATATAATAATGTAGTATAATATATTTATATTATATATACTATATATTATATATACTATATATATACTATATATATATATACTATATATATATTATATGCTCGTATTCTTTTAAAATTGGCTTGGTGAAACAGAACATGAAGGTCATGCCATGATGTGAAGATTCACTCATGGTGCACAGTGTGCAGATTGTACTTGAAGAGCTGCCAGGGCGAGACGGCCCTTCTGCGGGCACGGGCGATACGAGGCATGACCCATGCGCAGATCAAGGGCATCAACAGATGCAGGCCTGGCGACTGAGGTTCTCTGAGGTGGTGACCCCAAAATGGATGGTCTATAATGGAAAATCCCTGAACATCCTATTACATAAAATGCATGTATGATTTGGGGGTACCCCCTCGCATTTTAGGAAACCATCATATGGTATCATGCAATGTTCGCTGCTACTCCAAGCAGACAATACTTTGGGAACAGCCATGACAGAACTTGGAACATGCCCCCTGTACTGCATCACCAGCGCATATCTGCATATCATATCTTAATATCTTGTGCATATGTGGTGTATGCCTCTGCGGTGCAGGGACCTGTTGAGACACAGCCGCTTGCCGTGGGAAAACTTTGAATCCGCTGTTGCCAACTTGGCGGATGATCCACCTGCAGCTGCTCGTGCCTTTCTGGACTGAACACAGCTGAAATTAATATAAATTAATCCCAGTTCCTCCCTCTTCAGATCCTTGTTGTATCTTGTTGTGATTGTTGTGTTTCAGAACTGCTATTTATAATCAGCCTTGCCGCAGGAGATCGCATTTCCCAGCGGGCATTGAGCCCAGTGTGGAAATTACGCAACACCGTGGCAATGAGTTGCGAGGGCGCCCTCGTGGTCGATAGGGATGTCGTGGTCAGATGTGGTCAGTCAAAAATGCTAAGGCCTGGCACTATGTTTGTAGCGGACAAGGAGGGCAAGCGGATCTCTGCACATGACAAACTTAGATTATACGAGCCACAGCCTCAAAATCAAGTGATCCTCAAGTGTATATTGAAAACCAAGTGTTCGTGAAGTGTTCCTGCCGTGTTCTCAACGAAGGTGGTTTTTGTCAACACAGAATACTAATACAGCCCATACACTTCATTCCTTTCAGGTTTCAATCCTTCTGCCTGGGCCGCTTTGTTTTACAACTTGTCCAAGTTGAGGCAAATCCTGGAAGTGCGTGAAGTGGATGACGGTGGTTGGGAAGAGGCAGCCTGACTCAACAAACCCATAGAGACGAGTCAGGCTCCCGCTATAGTTGTCATCGTCGTTGTGTTCATTCAGGGGGAACGACGTGGCCTGTTGTGCCAGAGTCCAAGCCTGTCAAGCTGGCCTAGCACAATGTCTGAGAGGATTGAGAGGCTTCACATTCATGGGACCATTCTAAGGTGCACATAAACTGCTGCTCCCACAGGCTTAGCAGCAGCTTCACTGCAGGGAAGGAAGCCCTTGAAGGCAAAACAACTAGGTTAGGATCCACATCGCAGGTTCGCGCAGCCACCCTCCAGCCTGGCTCTAAACCCTTCAGGGATGCTGTAACAGGATGCAATCCAAACAGATTGAAACGAATCGATCAAATTACCAGCGCTAACAGCCGCTACATTTTCACAAGCTGTACTGAGGCAGCCACCAAACCCGGAGCAAAGGCCTCAGAAGCCGGTAAAGCCAGCTTGGTGGTTGATTCTTGAGTCATAAGAGTCATAAGAGTCATAACTTAAACAGCTGAAGCCTGCAAAGAAGCAAAGTGATTGTGGCAGAGGTACAGCAGCTCTTTCTTAGTTGCATTTGGTTGCTTATTGTCTTGGTCCATTGGTGGTTGCTTCGCCAAGGTGCAACTATTTCGCCAGGTATTTGCTCCACAGTGGTGTCATGAAATGGTGTCCAAGGGAGGCCTGCCGTCTCAGCTCGTTCTTGCTGAGTTTTTTTAAAGTTTGACATGTTGAATTTTGGCCTGCAGATGTCGCATGTCTATCTATAACAAAGGGAGATTTGTGTATGTATGTAGTTAGTTTTGTGCATGATTTTGCTGCTTTTTCTCCGCGCTGGTTGTGTTTGGCTCAAGACCGGCATTCAAAGACCCCTCGCCAATGTTGGCTGATGACTCTCAGTGAGTCTCCGATCGCAGTGTGGTCCACGGCTGGGCTCGTGGCAACTCTTCTTGTCGCTTTTGCTCTCAGTTTTACTCAGAAAGGCAGGAAGAATAGGAAGAATGGGAAGAATGGGAAGAAAGGGCTCAGAATCACACAGAGAAGCCCTTCGCGAGTCCAAGCTTTGGCCCACACGTCAACTGAGGATTTGGCCATTGAGGAACTCCGACAGAGATTTTCCAAAGGTGAAGAGCCACCGGAAGGACTCTTGCTGCAACTGGCCTGGTCTCGCAAATTAGATGTTGATGCAGCTGTAGATGTTTGGCGCAAACACTTGGCAGTTACCAGAGAACTCGGAATACAGGATGTCAGCGACGATTTGGTACGATATGCGTACAGGGCTGGTTTCTGTGTCCGCTCCGGCTTTGATGTCGACGGTCGACCGATGATCTGGGTGAGGCTTGCGAAGTCTGTGCCTTCTGTGATGACGGCAGCGCAAGTTGTGAAGAATACATGGATGGCACAAGACGCATCGTTGGCCAGTGGGCCTGAAGCTAATCGGCGAGGTATTTGTTTTGTCTATGACCTGAAGGGTGTCGGTTTGAAAAATGTGACCTTCGATCCCATGGCACTTCGTGACGTCATCCGTGGTGCGTTGAGTCATCCATGTCACATATCTCGAGTGTGGCTTCTCGATGCACCGCGGATTTTTCTGCTTTCCTGGCACGCGTTCAAACATTTTGTCCCGGCAGATGCGCGGAAGCTAGTCCGCTTTGCAAATACTCGTGGCAGAGGTGGCAGAGGTGGCACCAGCAATTTCTCTGGAATATGCCCCCCAAGCGAGCTTCCAGTCTACTTGGGGGGGGATCCGCATCAGTTCGCAGAAGCGTATAGTGATTGGATGTTTTTAGAGCTTGAAGGGCAGGAGCTGGCCTATCGGACACATAAGCTTCAGCTGCCAGTGCCCTTGCGCCGAAATATTGGGAGGCGTTCTGGTGCCGCTTGCAGCGTTGGTGTCCGCAAGCTTCTGCGATGCTTTTGTCTAGCCTGAACGGCCGTTCGTATCCAGATGGATATAGACATGCATGAGCCCCTTGAATCTTGCTTAGTCCTTGGAGCTAATTCAGCTCAGGCATGCACAGAGCAGTGCAACAGTCAGTCAGCTACAGATTAGCTACATTCTGCTTTGCCTGCTGCGGCTATGTAAAGAGGTAGCCCTAGAGTCCCTAGAGTGTGATCAATAGCAGCTTAGCAGTGGCTTAGCATGCAAACTGTTTCACATGAGCCAGTGCTATGCAGCGCTATTTTATACCATGTTTGCTAGCAAAATAATCTCAGGATCCTGCGAGCTTGCATCGATCACGGAAAGATGCCAAGAGTTCCATTCAAAATTCAAAGTTTAAGACCAACAAGGGAAGTTTGCAGCACCACCGCAGCTCGCCAATGCACAAGGGAACTTAATCTAAGAAGAACGTTCGGCTACACCCGTGCCAAATGCACTGCACCGAAATAGGCGAAAGAGTTGGCGGCAGATCTTTTAGCGCACTATGACCAGGCTCTTGTTTGTTTTCGCTGTAGACGGTTTCTGAATGCCCCTTTGGACTCGACGTCCCTGGTCAACTTTTAGGAGCTACCAGGTGCTCACTTGGCGCACTCAAGTGAATCGAGCATGCACACACCGCTCCAAGAGAACATGCAAAAACTATCAAAAACTAATTGAAGTAATGACAGTAGCGCCAGAATTCCTTTCCTGTCATGGGCTTTTGCAGGAGCTTCAGAAAAGAAGATCAGCTTTGAAAAGGCTCCCACGACTAACAGAGGTGCGATGACATTGTGCGATGCTGTTGGGATGGGAAAAGAGTGGCCACCCATCGGGCCCATCGGGGTATCGGGGCATTGGAATTGCTCGGGCTGGGAATGCCAGGCAGAGATGCTGCTGGGTAGTAGGCCACAGTTTGCAGGCCGCTCGCTCCACCAATGGACTGGTCCTAAGACTCGGCTGTGCAACTTGCTTTGCTCCGTGTTTTTTTTGGGGCTTTGTTTGCTTTGAGCATGTCATGTTCGAACATGTTTGAACACCTGAGGCATGCTCACAATGACTTGCCGTGGTTGACAGAGCAGAACGTTGTTGGAACGTTTGAGGCCTGATCTCAGTGATTTTCTTGACAAAGCCATTGCAGCTAGGGAACGAACCCAATATGTTCATATATGTTCAATACATGATAAGAATATATATACGTGTATATATATAAATAATGAATAATAATGATAATTGAATAATAGCTGATATATACATATATATATGTCTCTTCGGCAGAACTTTGGTACTTTGTTTTGGTCAGCTTTACATGCTGTACACATGTCCCAGGCCCTTGTCCACTCAGGGGCAATCGTGAGCATGGAGGACATCGCACATCTTCTGTGGCACACTTCCACATTGTAAGTACTGAAACTTGTGTTTGTTTTCTTTGATCTCACAAGGTACGGTTCTTTGCAGCTTGCCGATCTTCAAGCTGAAACAAAATCAGATTTTTTTGAAAGTGTTTGGCTCAAAGAGTAAAGCTGCACGCCCATATTTTCCGAAGCCTATTCGGTCATGGCGCCTCGCACTCCTGCAAGGCTTGGATTTGGATGATTTGGATGGCGTTCCCATTTGAATTTGGAAAGGATTGGAAAGGTATGAAAAGGTACAGATCTGATAGAACAGCAAAGAGGCCATGTTTCAGATGCCTCTGAAATCCTGTGAGCACAGTCAACAGACGATGGGATCCTTTCTGTGCAGGACTCTGCTGCTTGCGGTTCTGGGAGCTTTGCTTTTACATGGCATCCAAAGGCTGGTTTTCGATCATTTTTGATTCACATCACTGTGCGCAACTTGCTTGGTTTAAATCAAGCACGTGAGAACAACTTGGTCTTGGTCGAGAACATTGCTTTGTGTTTTTTTGACGTGAACATGGCAGGTGGTCGGCAGATAGCGCGGAGAACACTGAGGCTTTCAGTACCTCGGTGTGGGAACGTGATGGGCTGGAGCTGCAGTTCCTGGGGCTTGGCGCCCCAGGACACAGGACGGCTTTTATTCAGTGAAGTGAGGCGTAGTCTTGGGACACCATGTTTGGATATAGTTTGGATAAATTTGGAATCATTTTTGCATATGTATAATATATATATATATAATTATATATTTTTTGGCAAATTTGGGTTGGAAGGAACACCCCCAGAACGAGCGCATTGCATGCAAAGCATTTACTGTGCTCGTAGCTACCAAAAACAAGTGCAGCGTTGGAGAACGAAATCAGGCCCCACCAAAAAACGATACGGGAACTGAGAACAAGGTAGCAACAATGTAGGCACGCCCCGTCGATTAACGTGATGTACCAAGAACATACATTGGCACACAGGACACATTCTTCTGAGAATCTAAACCTATGGAAGATTGCCTGGCGCTGTAAAGAATGACGAAAGGATGAGAAGAGTGTTGCACTTGGTTGTGTTCGTAGAAGGTCGGCTGGCTGATCGCTTCATATGGTTGCTTGCAATTTCTTGCATCTTCCTGAGACAGATCACGATTCATTCCAGATGTTTCAAGCTGCCTTGCTGGCTTCATTCATGCCTTGCTTCAGCTGAGGCTTGCCTCAGGCTGTTCGAAATGCAGCAGCCGCCAGCATGATGGCATCCATTCTTGCAACCTCAACACCTGCACTTGCCGAGGAGGCTCATATGTTTTCAGTAGGTAAGGATATGTGCGGATATTGGATGATACTCGTGTTCTGGTCTAAGTGTGGATCGTTTTTTTCAGAATGAAAGAGAATGATTCAGACAGAGTTCTCTAAATGTTCTCTCCATGTAGGAGACAAATTCCGTCTCTCGGCACGTTTTCCGCCTGTTTCAGCACTGCACTCGGAGGATGCCCTGAAATCTTTGGAGAGCAAGTTGGCGCAACGTGACGAGGGCATTGAAAGGTTGCAAGAAGAGAAGCTCCGCCCCAAGCTGAAATTGTCAGAGGCATCCCGTCACCGTGCTGATGTGCCTAATGACCTGCTATACTATGATTCCATGATATTCTAATCTAACGTTGATGTGCCTAACGTTTCTAACTAACAGGTTGCGAGTACTTGCAGGATCTTGCAGGAATGGGGAGCAATGAGTAGTATAGAAGCTTTCGAAAGCACTGGCAGGTGGAAAAGTTGGAGCGCGACGAGATCCAGACAGCACGCATCACAGAGCGCCTCAAGGCTCTGAGGGACAGGGACATGTGATGACATGTGCAGGGATATGTGCAGGGACATGTGATTCGCACATGAAAAAGATGGACCCCAGAAACAGAAACTGCAGGAGGCAAAAGTCATCACGAGACAGTACGAGATATTGATAAAGTGATGAAATGTGATGAAATTAGATCTTTTGTGTTGGTCCATGCCAGCTTGCAATTCTTGCACTTGCATGGCACTGAAGGCATCAACAAATTTCCCGATAGTTCTATTAATGTGGAGTCGATCAGAATTTTTGGTGCAGGAGAAGCAGATTGTAGCAGAGGAACTGAAGGAAAAGGAGCGCGCCAAGGATCTTGAGAAGCGTGAGAAGGCTCGCTGCAGCAAACTTAGAGACAAAGTTGAGGGGACGGTACCAACTGGGTTCTTGACACACGGAGAATAACAAACTGCAATCGATTGGTTTTCCGGTTGTCATGTATTATATGTATGTGCGAATGATGCAACTACAAGGGTTTGAAGACACTGGAAGCGATTCTTAAAGGAAGTAGACTTCTCATGACGTCTCCAACTTGTTCCTTTCTGGTAGGCTCAGATTGAGAAGGAGGAGAAGGAAACAAAGGCCAAGATCCAAAGAGAATTGGACGCAAAAAAAGCACAGATCAAGAAGGATGAGAAGGCTGCCATTGATGAAGCTCGCCGAGTAGAGCGTGAAGAGAAGAAAGCTGCTAAAGACATGGAAAAGAATGCCCTGCGAGCGAAGACGGACGAGGAACGCTTGGCTGCGGAGGAAGCTAGTGAGACTGCCTTCAATGCTGCAACTGAGAAAGCCGAGGCAGCCATTCTTGCTGCGGAGCAGCGTTCAGAAGATGAGTTGAGCAAAGCGTTGGAACAAGCTGAAGCATCCAAAGAGGCCGCTGCTGAGAGAGCCGAGCTGCTCGAGAAAGCTGCAGCGGACAAATACGAGGCTGCCCTGAGTCAAGCTGCAGAAACCGCTGAGCGTGCCGAGAAGGATGCTGTCTTTGAGGAAGAGGCAGTGGAGCAACAAGTGGTCGCAACTGTGGATGCAATTGAGAAGGAGGACTTGATTGAAGAAAACGCAAGCTTGGAGAAGGCCAAAGAATTCCTCGGAAGCGCTTGGAGCATTGCAGCCCCGTTGGTGATTCCTGGTATTTTCATTGCCTTGTATGCAGTTCTCGCTAGCTTCTCAGCACCCCGTCCAGAACCCTGCCTGGGAGCAGAAGCAGACGAGGTTCGTAAAATCATGGGCCGGGCTGAGCGGACCAAGACTGCCAGGGCCAACATGGACCCATGGTCTGGGGAAGCCAAGCACATGGTTGGGGTTGGAACTGGAGCCATGGCGTTGCTGGCTGTGCTGATGTCTTCGGGTCCTGTCTCTGGTTTCGTGAGCACATCTCCTACCACTTTGCCTGCCCGCAATGCTCAGCGCTCTCAGCGTACCTTATCACAAGGCACACCCTCTCAGCCAGCGCAGCCTTCGGCCACCTTTGGTCGAGCGACGTTGGCCCAGGGGGTTGCGGCTGTGGCTGTGATTGCTGCTGCTGGCCGCAGGCGTGCAGCCAAACACATCGGACGCTGGTCTCAGGTGGCCCGCTGTGCTGCAAAGCCCAGTGCGATCACTGGCAAGGACCCGTTGCACGTGATCATCTCGGGAGCTGGAGTTGGTGGCCTGCTTTTGGCCAAAGCCCTGAGCAAAGAACCCACCATCAAGGTGACTTTGCTGGAGCAGGCGGGCTTTCGACCTCGTCACGTGTCTCCTGGGTTCATTTGTCACCAGCAAGTACGTTTGTAATCACCATATTAAACCTATATATAGTCATCAAAGGAAGTTGGGAAGCAATTTCCGAGTTACGAATGACTTTTTACTTGGTGCAATTGACTATGATGAAGGGTGGTAGATCCTGTAACAATACATAATGTACCAATACATCACAAACCAATAAGAAGCAATGAAATTGACCTTGAGGAAGGGTGGTAGATCATATAACAATACATAATATAACAATACATAATGTACCAATACATAACAAAAGAATAAGAAGCTATGAAATTGACCTTGAGGAAATGATGATGAAGGGGAGTGGTGACGAAGGGAAGTGGTGAGGAAGGGAAGTGGTGAAGAAGGGAAGTGGTGACGAAGGGAAGCGGTGAAGAAGGGAAGTGATGATGAAGGGGAGTGGTGACGAAGGGAAGTGGTGACGAAGGGAAGTGGTGACGATGGGAAGTGGTGACGAAGGGAAGTGGTGACGAAGGGAAGTGGTGACGAAGGGAAGTGGTGACAATGGGAAGTGGTGAGGAAGGGAAGTAGTGAGGAAGGGAAGCGGTGACGAAGGGAGGTGGTGACGATGGGAAGTGGTGACGATGGGAAGTGGTGAGGAAGGGAAGTGGTGAGTTGGGGAGGAAGCCGGAGCACGAAACCTTGTGTTTTTCCGTGTAAAGTGGCTGCAGCCGGCGATGAAAGGTACCTCGTGTGTGCGGCGGTTGCGGTTTGGATCGTTTCGAGTTCAATCGGTTCCTCCTATGTGTTTTGCAACGAGTGGTTGTTCCTGTGTGCGTAGTTCTATGCGTTTCTTGACGCTGTGGTGGCAGATCGCATTGGAATGGCTGCATGAATGTTGCATGGGCTATGTTGTGGGGAGGAAGCCGGAGCACGAAACCTTGTGTTTTTCCGTGTAAAGTGGCTGCAGCCGGCGATGAAAGGTACCTCGTGTGTGCGGCGGTTGCGGCTGGGGTCGGTTTATCGTTTTTTTTTTGCCGCAGTGTAACGGTGGCTTGAAGCTGCTTTGGGTGTGCTTGTGTGTGCGTAGTTATAGTGTGTTTTGGAATCTGTGCTTGCAGATCGCATTGGAATGGCTGCATGATGTTGCAAGGGCTCTGTTTTGGGGAGGAAGCCGGAGCACGAATCCTTGCGTTTTTCCGTGTAAAGTGGCTGCAGCCGGCGATGAAAGGTACCTCGTCTGTGCGGCGGTTGCGGCTGGGGTCGGTTTATCTTTTTTTTTGCCGCATTGTAACGGTGGCTTCAAGCTGCTTTGGGTGTGCTTGTGTGTGCGTAGTTATAGGGTGTTTTGGAATCTGTGCTTGCAGATCGCATTGGAATGGCTGCATGATGTTGCAAGGGCTCTGTTTTGGGGAGGAAGCCGGAGCACGAATCTTTGCGTTTTTCCGTGTAAAGTGGCTGCAGCCGGCGATGAAAGGTACCTCGTCTGTGCGGCGGTTGCGGCTGCGGTCGGTTTGTCGGTTTTTTTTGCCGCAGTGTAACGGTGGCTTGAAGCTGCTTTGGGTGTGGTTGTGTGTGCGTAGTTATAGGGTGTTTTGGAATCTGTGCTTACAGATCGCATTGGAGTGGCTGCGTCAAGGTTGCTTGGTGCAGCGGCTGCATGCGTAATACTATTGTCTTTTGCAGCTGAAGATCGTAAATCGTATTGGAATGGCTGCATCAAGGCTGCGAAAGTGATTTGTCAGCAGATTTTCCCAATTTTGGCGCTAATAATTTTCCTTTTAAAATTCCTTTTAAAAAGTGCTTCAAAATCGTCTTTTTTTCGCTTTGGCGTCGAGATCCGGTTTTGGAGCTGCAATTTCCGACGCCATTGCACGTAGTTCTATTGTGTTTTGCAACTCAGTCTCTGCAGATCGCATTGTAGTGGCTGCGTCAAGGTTGCTTGCCGCCGCGGCTGCATGCGTAATACTATTGTCTTTTGCAGCTGAAGATTGTAAATCGTATTGGAGTGGCTGCATCCAGGCTGCGATAGTCATTTGTCAGCAGATTTTCGCAAATTTGGCGCTAGTAATTTTCCTTTTAAAATTCCTTTTAAAAAATGCTTCAAAATCGTCTTTTTTTTGCTTTGGCGTCGAGATCCGGTTTTGGAGCTGCAATTTCCGACGCCGTTGCGCTTAGTTCTATTGTGATTTGCAACTCAGTCTCTGCAGATCGCATTGGAGTGGCTGCCTCAAGGATGCTTGCCGCCGCGGCTGCATGCGTAATACTATTGTCTTTTGCAGCTGAAGATTGTAAATCGTATTGGAGTGGCTGCATCCAGGCTGCGATAGTCATTTGTCAGCAGATTTTCGCAAATTTGGCGCTAGTAATTTTCCTTTTACAATTCCTTTTCAAAAATGCTTCAAAATCGTCTTTTTCTTGCTTTGGCGTCGAGATCCGGTTTTGGAGCAGCAAATTGTAGCATACTGGAAACGACTTTGTGCAAGCTTTGTAGTACAAAGTAGTACTGGGGAGTACTTTGTGCAAGTTTTGTAGTACAAAGTAGTACTGGGAATTGTAGTGCAAAGTAGTAGTGGGTGCAAGCTGTGTAGTGCCAAGTAGTATGTACTGGGAAGTAGTACTGGGAAGTAGTTTGTCAGCTATTTCGTGGATGTAGGTTGCTATTTCGAGTTTTGTGTACGATATTGATGTAGGTAAAGGGAGTAGTGACGCTTGGCATTAATGACCTCAATATTGTAAATATTTTATGGTCTACGCCTTTTGGCATGTAGAAGAATCAACATGAGTTACGCTCAACCTTGCTGACGTGCAGAAGCGCCGAGAAGAGCTCAGATGAGATGAAGTGTGGAGTGTGAAGAGTGCAGTGTGAAGCGTGGGGCGCGAAGAGTGCAGTGTGAAGTGTGAAGTGTGGAGTGTGAAGAAAGCAATGAGAAGTGAGAAGTGTGAAGTGTGGACTGTGAAGTGTGAAGTGTGGAGTGTGAAGTGTGGATTGGGGAGAGTGCAGTGTGAAGTGAGAAGTGTGAAGTGTTGACTGAGAAGGGTGCAGTGTGAAGTGTGAAGACTGTCAAGTGTGAAGTGTGACGTGGGGCTTCAAGTGTGACATGTGAAACACGACACCAGTTTCGCAGAGTGCACGCACGCACGGGCTTGGCTGGCGCACGGCGCATGCAAGTTCTATAGATGAGAAAGGTCTTATATATATCTTTAAGGCAACTTCCGCCCCGCCTCGTGCGGGTACTACTGGTATATAGTTGATATTCACCCACGAATATCTACAGTATCGCTTTGGCAACCTTTTGGCATAAGTACCAACCATTATCAACCATTCAGATCCAAATAGCGCAGTGCACGCGTGCAGTCATGTTTGTCCTCTGCTGCAAGCCTAGCCTAGCCATAGAGTAGGCCTTCCTTCAAGGTTCCTGTATATATATAATTGTAGTGAAGTTTTGGCATGCTCCCAGATGCTTGTTTGGTTCCTCTTTCGACCGATTTGAACAGACTTGAATAGAATTGTCTGTGTGTTGCCTTTAGGCCAGCTCCTTCCAACGATTTGGTGGACCAATCCAGCTGGCTTCCAACACTTTGTCTACAATCCGCGACATCGATGAAGGACTCTTTGATGAACTCATGAAGAAGTTCACTTTCACCGGATACCGCCGAAACGGTTTGGTGGATGCCTTGCGCTCGGAGTGGTACTGCACTTTCGATGCCATGAAAGATGCAGCAGACATGTTCGACCTGCCTTACACTGGTGTGGTGGACAGGCCCGACCTGCAGCAGATCATGCTGGATGCCATTCCAGAAGGCTGCCTGTCCAATTCTCAAAAGGTGAAGAGTTACGAGGTCCTTCCAGACTACCAAGGTGTCAAGGTCCAAACCCAGGACGGAAAGGAGTACACAGGCGATGTGCTGATTGGTGCCGACGGCATTTGGTCAGCCACCAGGGCCCAGATGTGGAACGAAGCGCAGAAGGGTCCTGGCTCTGGCTGCACTTACAGTGGTTACATCGTGTTTGCAGGTGAGACCATCTACCAGCCTGAGGACTACTTTGATGTGGGTTACAAGGTCTACATGGGTCCTAAGCGATACTTTGTGACCTCAGATGTCGGCCGTGGCAGAATCCAATGGTATGCCTTCGTGGCTGTTGCTGAAGGTGAGGAAGTCCCATCAGACCCATTGGAGAAGAGAGAATACGTGAAGGCGGCTTTCCAGGGTTGGTCTTCCCAGATCTCTGATTTGTTGGATGCCACTCCTGCCAACACCGTGGAAGATCGATCCTTGTATGACCGTCCCCCAAGTGTGTTGAAGTCCTGGGCTGACGGACCAGTGGCCTTGCTGGGCGACGCATGCCATGCCATGATGCCCAACTTGGGTCAAGGAGGCGGTCAGGCTATGGAAGATGCTCACTGCATCTTGCAGAAACTGAAGGATCTCACTGATAGACGTCAAGTGCCTGATGCTTTGCAGGACTATTACCGCTCCCGTATTTTCCGAGCCTCTGCCGTGCAGGGACTGTCGCGTGTGGCTTCAGACATTCTGTTGGGCACTTTCACTTTCCCTTGGAAAGCGGAGGAGGGCCTGTCGGCGCCTTATGGCAAGGGCCGTGGTGACGTGAGCTACGAGTCTGTGGTCGTCAACTACCTCAGACACATTCTACCAGGTGCGTTCACAGCCCAATTCACCTTCTTGTACTCTTTCCACCCCTACAAATGGAGCAAGGAGGAAGTGAAGGTGCTCGTTGCGGACGTGATGGATCGCCACAAGAAGGAAGCTGCAGAAGCCTGGCAGCGAAGACAGGATGCTGTGGAGAAGGGAGAGGCCGGTCCTTCTGTAGTGCATGGAGCTGTGTTGCCTCGCAGCTTCTTTGTGGAACATTCCAAAACAGATCAGAATGCCAAGACTTTGAGGACGAGCGTTGGGGACACACATTTGTCACCGGTCCATCAGGTCCATCACATCATTCACCTTGGCTTAGAGAAAAATCAAAACAAATGCCAATGCCATGACACCGCCTTGGGAAGTATATATATATAATTATACACACACACATATATATATATTTATTTAATATTTATTTTTATATCCTAGAACATCTTGGAACGCTTCTTGCAGGTTGAGAAATTTGAGGAAGAATGCAGACAAGAGTCCTTCTTCGCGCCCCTGGGATTTCATTAAGCAGATGCGGGAAAGACTAGGAAAGTGCACCACAAACGAGATCAAACGAGTATATAGACAATATTACTGTAGACAATTATAGACATGCCATCAGGAGGCTAAACTTCGTATTTATGACTACTATGACTACAATGCCCAATCAATTTGTCTCGGATCTGTGGGGACAGACTGCCCTTTTTTTTGCGGGGCAACATCTTCGACATGGCTCTCAGAACATCTCAGAATCCAAATGAATCACCCAAGGATGAAGGCCGAACCATAGCTGGCCATGCTTGGTTTTGTATGTTTCCTAATTTTCCTATATTTTCCTATTGTTTCCTATGGTTTCCTCAGATTTCCTCAGGCTTGTGTGGTTTTGTTATTTTGTTCTGCATTTGGCCAAGGCTTGTTGCCCAGGTTGCAGGTGGCATCGATCAGAAGTGAGTCTCGCGGAAGTAGGGTTCTTCGCTACGGCTGAGCTATGCTAACAAAGCATAGATTTTCGCAGCAGTTTTACATTATGTTGAACATAATCTGATAGAGAAAGATTGTCGCACATTGAGCGACCGCTTTTCGTGCAACTGCCCTTTGCTGGCAGAGCTTGCATTTCTTTTCTAAATCAACACCCCATGTCACCAGAGCGTTCTTTCTAGAATGGGCCAGCATTGATGCCGTTGGCCAGCTGTTGTCAAGGACGACTTCGAAGCAAGAAGGGAATCAAGTGGTACAATAAAGCCATCCCATGCCAAAGTTTCCCCGGCAATGTCAAAATCTGGTCCATCCTGGCTCTGTGACTTGTGTACAAATCTTCTGCAATCTTGCAAAACACAGACCTTGGCGTAAAAGGAGGTTGTGGCGCGCAAGACAGCATAAGCAACTAGGAATTTGGGTGCATGTTGCATGCATTTGCAAACCAGAAATCCGAGCGGGCACGATTTGTATCGATTCGTGGGTTTCACCTGTCCAAGTGCTTGAAATATGCACACAAATGCATGCCAGCGTGAGGACTTCTGCAGCTGGGTTGGTGAACTGAATGCACAGTCTGGAGCTTGACATGGAAAAGCGTGAAACATCGTTGAAAAGGCGTAGGACGACCAATGTAGACGGGCCAGTGTTTTGGGATGTTTTGGGTGCCAGTTATGGTGCCATTTTGTGGCATTTGCAAAGGCATATGCTTACTTGTCAGTTTGCTTGTTTAGATATTCTTGGCACATTTGACCAAGGATATGTGCAAGTGACGGTTCAAAGTCATCAGTGCAGTCTCATCTCTCAGCTTACGATTGCGGACGTGCATTCGCAACCTTGGCATACGCTGAGGGACCATGACTAATTGAGGCTTGGTGCATGGGACAAGCGCCTTCCTCTCTATTTTTGGGGAAGCCATGAACTCAGAATGCTACTGTAGCACTGCCAACTGCAAGAAATAGAACTTCTGTCTGTTGCGGGATTGTCTTCGAATCCGTTTGTGTTTGTGGCAGGCGCCTACACCAAGTTCCTTATGGGAGAGGTGCCCGGGTCAAATCTATGGGTGCAGAGATGTGGAGAGAGTTGCATGACTGGAGGCACAGCGTGCTGCACGCATCTTCCATCAAATTGCTGGTGATTTGGCCCGTCGCGTTGGCAAGGCCAGGCGGACCGAAACTAAGGTTGTAGGATGTTGTAGGCTTCACATGGCTTCACATGGCTTCAACATCTTCAGTCTCAAATTGCAACCAACAATCGCTGTGATTGTCATGCAGTGTTTAAATGAATGGATCAGATTTGCCTTGCAGGTGGAGTACAGGGATGCTCCGAACAAGCAGCCTTCACGAGTCCTAAAGAAGCAGTGCCTTGGAAAGTATAGCTTGGTCTGCGATTCTTGCTATTGTAGTCTTGGGATGTCTTGGGTGGGGGCTGCCTTATTTCTTGCTTGCTCCAGGTTTGATTATGCATCGATCGGATTGACTTTGCTACATGAGGCAGCTCAGAATGCTTGTTCGATCTTGTTACATCTTGCGGCTTGTTGTATTTCCACCGCCCCATATAAATCGTTGTAAAGTGCAAAGTTTTAAGAAATGTAAGGAGTGAGTTGGCCAGGAAACTCGCAGATCCGTCAGCATGCAGTGTTTTTTTCCGCTATATATCGACGGACTGAAACTTAGAATGCCGCCATGTTTGTTGAAATTTTTAACGGTGCCACTTAGAATGCCTTTTTTTTGGCCTCACTTAGAATGCCTCCATCGCTAAAACATTCAAACCTGCGAGCTGGACTTTATGAGGCATTCTAAGTGCGCATGATTATCGCCATATTTGGAGACCCTTTCAATTTTTTTTGGTCCAAGGCATTCTAAGTTTCAGTCCGTTGCTATTAGAGATATAGATTTAAACTCTTGATGGTATATAAAAATTATTATATAATCACCTGTTCTGGTGTGAATATGCTAGTTGTTGTCCCCTAAATCGCATTTGTGAGTTTCAGGAGAAAGGAAAGGAGAAAGGAAAGGAGAAAGGAAAGGAGAAAGGAAAGGAGAAAGGAAAGGAGAAAGGAAAGGAGAAAGGAAAGGAGAAAGGAAAGGAGAAAGGAAAGGAGAAAGGAAAGGAGAAAGGAAAGGAGAAAAGAAAGGAGAAAGGAAAGGAGAAAAGAAAGGAGAAAGGAAAGGAGAAAGGAAAGGAGAAAGGAAAGGAGAAAGGAAAGGAGAAAGGAAAGGAGAAAGGCAAGGAGAAAGGAAAGGAGAAAGGAAAGGAAAAAGGAAAGGAAAAAGGAAAGGAGAAAGGAAA